AGCACCCTTGGAGAGACTAACAGTTTCTGAAACTCCAGAGCTCAGAAGATGTGTCTGAAACTGAGACCCCTCTGTTACAACATTTGTGTTATTTAGAAGACTTTCAGTCAACAGACCTTACATGCTCACTGGATATAAAAACATGTAAACTGCTGCTTTCATTAACAGTGGGGGGTCTCAAACCCAGAGTCTCTGTGGTTTGTGTTTATAACTGCCTTAATTCAGTGATTAAAAATCTTGTTAATCTGCACTAATTAAGACTATGGTTGGTTCCATTTAGTAATAAAGAGCTGGAGTTCAATGAACATCTGAAGACCCTGCTTCTTGTTATCCAGGACTGAGTATAACATAGTTATAACAAGAATAAGCTCATGTGCATCCTGTTTAGTGGGGCTTAGCTTTAGTCAATATTATTGATTTGAACTTGGAAATGCACACTGACCCACTATTTGAGTGTACTCAGTCAAGTGGTTTGTAAAGCAATACTGTAGTTTCTTAAAATATTAACTTCTACACATGCGGTACATCATTATCCAGACTCTACATTTTCATTTTTGTAGCCAATGAGAAATGGCAACAAAAAGAATAAACAATTCAAAGCATTGGGCATTAACATGGTCTGTAATGAATGCACTATGACTGTTGTGAACATCTTTATTACCATAAACATTTTCTTTCTCTTTTCTTGTTATATGTATAGAGTATGTGCCGAAATTGTACCAAGGTGAAGAAGGGTATCTGGCTGATTTACAGCTCCTACAACACTACAGAAACTTGAGCAAAGTCCTGGCAGTGTAAATGACCAGGGGTTTTCTGCAAATGAAATGGGCATGAGTATCAGAACTGTCACACAGATTCTCTTTTAAATTGTTTATGAATGATGGTAAGATCTGTAGAACTGGAGACTATAGAACTACCTTCTCAAATCTTTGAGAAATAAAGCCATATTATGAGGTACGTTAGATTTTTCCAACACATCATAATTGCCCTCCCTCCAAAAATAAAGCATCAACTTTTCTGAAGCATATTTTCCTCTAAAATTAAAAGATGCCTTAAAATATTATTCTTAAGTGTATTATGCTTTCTTCTAATATAGTACCACTAGTAATATACCAAATTCTAAATGCACTGTCAGTGTTTCACAGTATTTCTTAAGTTGGAACTGCATCTTCACACATGGAATGCCCCCATTTTTTTTCCCAATTAAATCCCTTGTTTTGCTCCTGTAAAGTTGAATTTGCAGCTGGTTGTATAAATTGCCGGAAGTGTTACTGATTTGACAGTTTTCCTGTCTTGTTATTAAAACCAATTAGGAAATCACTGGGAAGGACTGCAAGAAGGGACACCTGTTTGGGCATGTTTGATCAAAAATTGATGAGAAGTACCCACTAATTACAAAGATAACGCTGGCCCTGGTGCTCTACAGGGAACAGAAGGAGTGCAAATGAAGAAAGGTAAGTGGTATTTATTCCCACTTATTTTACTGTCCTGATTCAATCGTTCAGTGGAACTGCTCAGCGCTGTCCTCCCATATCATCATTACATAAAAAATCTGAATTCATAAATGCCAGCAATGTATGAACTGCCACATCCTTACCACTGTATTTTTGGCATGTTAGGTTTTAGTCCACTCACACCTCCCACTCTGTCTTGAAGCATTGTGGAGTTTAGGAATCTGTGTTTTTAGGGTTTTCTCAACCTTTGCTACTTGGAAGATCCCCCTTTCAAAAAGCATTCTCAGTAAAGGTCCTTTATTCACCAAAATCAAACTGAAATCTGAATTTTTAAAAAATGCCACTAATAAATAGAAGATATTGGAAGCCACAGGGCAGACCAACTCATTCTGTGACAGTGTTGGTTTTACACACCTACTGTAGAACTGTCTTGGGGTTAAATGTTTCCCCTGTTTGTGGGTAATCGCAGGAGAAACTCTATAGGTCCCTTAAGAACGACTCTTTCAAATCATATAAACTCAGATATCGTTTTCTTGGCCTGTAATGAATGAATGTTTCATAATAATGAATTAACACACTGTCACTTCTTCTTTCTATGTAACAGCGTTTAATGTGCGTTGCTTAAAAGAGTCCTAGAAATTCACTTAAACTCTTTTCCAGGTAGCTGCAACTTCAGTTCAAAACTGTGGGACAAGTGGCCTTCGTCTGTTTCTTCTTGAGAGGTCTAAAATGATATTTTAAGGGGAGTTTAATTTTCTTCCTGGAGATCTATCTCACTCGATAATCTCCACTTTAATCTTTAATCTCCTGCACAACCAAATACTTTTTGTGTTCACCAAACGGTATCGCGCCTTACATTTTAGTCCTCGGCACACCTGTTCAATTAGACACGTGCAAATCCCGAAGAGGCTGCTGCCTTGAGATCTCAGCGGATCGAGGAAGGGTACCGAGCATCGAGTAATTAAGAGTCAGCCATTGGAGGCGTTCGCGAGGAGAATTGAATTTCCATCTTGAGGTGGCGGGGAAACACCTTGCTCTCTCAGGCGGCAGTTCAACAGTTTCTAATGCCTCGATGCAAGATAATTTCTTATGCTCTTCCATTCCAATCTAAGACATAAAATAAGCCCTTGTAGTGAGAATACACTGGACTTCAGATCTTTTACCTCCGGAGTGAAAGCTGTTTACATTGAAAGTGTAATGCCCACGACTACTATTAGCATTCAGTTACAAACGGTACCGCGGTGTTCACGCACCGATGGTGTGATAAAGCAAATTAAACACAAAAACTATAGATTTCGCAAAAAGCAGATTAAGAATTTTACAGTACATGGGAAACATACTGTATGTTAACGTATGGCACAGTAATAATAGCATTTCCTTCTCCCAAATCAATATAATACCGGGATTTTATTCCCCTAAGGGATCCAAGACTTAACAGGTTAACAAGCACGGCCTCTGTGTGGTTCACCAACCTAGATAGGTTACCACGTACTTTCGATTCACCTGTTTTACACCCGAAGTTAGCTACAGTGGCACCCATGGCAACCACCATAGTAACACAATACAAGTCATTCCTCTCCAGGGTCATTACCCATCCCTCCCTGGACTATACATTGGAACTCTCCGTAGTGTTGCAAACTTCTTGTTAACCCGCGCAGTAATAAATGAATGTGCTTATTAATTCTCAACTGGGAAAGGTTTTCATTAATTTGTGATAATGCAATACTGTTAGGTACAGATTAATTTTTCAGGGGGAGAAGGAGAATTTAATAAATCCCAAAACCCCGAATTTCACTCCTCATCGTCAAACTAGCGGTACTGAAAGGTAGAAAAATGTTAAGGTTAATGTTTAACAACATATTTAATGCATCACATACAAGTTGCTTTGCACAATGTAAGAAACCCTACTAGCAAGCCTGGAAATAAAAAATAACTTCTGCAAAACAGGCGCAAATTAAAAACTGTCACATGCCGCATAAAATTGATTCCCGGTTCAATTGATAAGTTTGATTCCACTCAGACCTGATCCTTTAAATTAATTATTACTTCTTAGAACGGCTTTGAGTGGTTTGAGTATAACGCAGAAGAGGAACTTACTCCCAACGAATTGTCTCGAAAAGCATGCTTGAAATGTTGACCAAGTGACACTTACAAACTGTAAAGCATGTTTTTAAAAACTGTTAAATATGCAGTCTGTTTTTGTTTTTTTTTGTTTTTTTTGGTGTACACCAGCACCTTTTGGCTTTTGGAACGATTTGGAGAAAGCATAGTATGTAACTCTTTTAAGGATAAATATAATTTTATAAAGTTTGCTCTTAATCCTAATTATTTAACTTAATCTTTACTTATTCAATTATGCCATTTTTTAAATTAATGAGAAAATTATTTTTTTTTTCTGAAAACTGGACAGAGATTTACACGATTTATGTTTACATTTATGCCTGAAAGCTTTTTTAGCTAATTTCTCTTTAGGTAGACCAGTCCTTTAAATTTCCGTTTTTAGTTTTACTGTTTTAAAATGCTATTCTTGTTTTGGGGGTACATTTGGTCTTGACTAATGTTATTTTATATATGGTCATCTGCATTCATACATTTTTAATTCATTCAGTCTATAGTGGTCCTTAAGTATTTCTGATCGGTTCGTACTGTTCAGTCGTATCCAGTGCCTGATAAATTTATTATGTTGCTCGTTTTGCTCAGAATTTTAAAAGCCATGATATACAATACAAAATACAACTACATTTTGACAGGATTTTATAGTAACATCTTACAGCACTGTTAAAAATAATACCAATAAAAATGTCGAGAGGATTTAAAAGATAGAATCGTAACTATTTTAGCAGGATATATCCGTTTTAAAAGACTCGTGTTAATTTAATAATTTAAAAATATTTTTGTGCTTCAATCGACAACCAGTATAAATTGTGTAACATGTATATGCATTTAATACTTCTTATTTATTTTCATTATGTCGTTGATATCTACATTCCCAAGATTCAGAAAAGCATCTGTCGATTAAAGAAATGCTTCTGAATGTTTCTACGCCAAAAAAGAAGCATACATGCCTCGATTAAGTTGGCATACAGTACAGGAAACACAAGCTTCATATCCTAAAAAAATAGAGTAATACTGTATATATATATACCATATACTGTATATACATCAATATACTATATATATATCAATTGCATTTCCACCTTAAACGTCATTTCACAAGCCTAGCCAACAATAATTTTAAATGTTCTGACCTTTAATAAATAGAATCTTATACGTTCTGCACAATAAATTGTACTTAAAAAAGAAAGTGCTTGTAAACTTGAGCGTGGATAAGTGTCAGTTTCCTCTTGGTTTAACGCGTGCCTCGGATGAGTCTCTTTTAAAAAAATCACAATAGCGTCTGTCCATCTTTTGCTGACAAAAGGCACACGTATTGTTCACGGAAAAATATGCCCTACTGTAACCCTGTCTTTAAATGTAACTTAATATATCATTGTGAACTTTTGCATCTAATATACTGCTGATAGAAACGGGAAGAAATGCACTTACCTAAGAAATTGTAAGCAGCAATCCTTGTTAAAGTGATAAAGGTGAAAACAAATGACATTAGAGATGCGCCAAGCAAAAACGATTCTCCTTAAATTACGACGAAGACCAAAAACTATAGAAAAAAACCCCAACCGTCAAGCCATTGGGACTGTTTCCTCACCAGCTTACAATACAGCGAGCTGTTGCATTAAGTAATAATCATATACTGTACAATGTTTCCTTTTAACTCTTTCCTCTCTGGGAAAAGAAGGAAAAATGTCAGGAGATCATCTTGAGACACCTGTCCGAATAGTAGCCTCGTTCCTCGGGTTAGGCAGTTCTCGGCTACATTTTTCCAAGAGAGGAAAGTCTGTTAAGTGGGGCGGGAGGGCTGGGCTGTGGGAATTAGGGAAAGCTGAAGGCGTGTTAGCCGCCGTTGGGGCGCTCAGGAGCGGGAAGGGTTTCGTTTACTCACTGGGGGGTCTGGTTAACTTGTAAGGCTCAATGGCGTACCCAGACACCAGAGACTGCTGTATTGCCTTTTATTCCGACAAGACAGCAAATTAACAAAATTGTAACAATAAGCAGCTGTAGTTTAGCCGTTGCATTTTCAAGGTCAGTGGGAATAAATCACTTTCAATTATAGCTTTTCCTTTCTATCAGAATTTACTCATTTTCCCTTACTTGGTTTTGTTTGTAAAATTCAGCAGAAAGCACATTTGACTTCTTAACGAAGGTATTGACTGAAGCGCATATTAGTTACTGGAATAGCGATGTGCAACAACATTATAACACGGTTTAACATTTCTCAGTCTTTTAGACTGAACAGGGAAAAAACTTAAAAACTCAATTTATATATTTAAAGCATAATGACTGTCAGTCTCGGGTATATGTGTATGTAATGACTTAATCACGGTGATGAGCAGCGTAAAGCTGATCTGCGAACAAGAACCGTCAGACAGCAATTGATTAAATATTACTGTCGATGGAAACCAGGTAAACACAAAATACATTTCCCAGAGTCCCGAAGAAAGAGGTCAAACGCTTATTGGAGGCGTTACTAATACAAATACAGCTCTTGATAGGTTGTTCGTCACGCCAATCATCCGAGATCGTTACGTTACTTCCTCAAAAAGGATTTCAGTTGAACGGCTGGAGAATAATCTCTTGATTTGGAAATACAAGGTACTCGAAACAGGTAAATGTGAGCATGTTGCATTGCCACTGAAAAACGTAATGGTGTGATATTTCGGTTTTGGTGGTGGTATGTGATTTCTCATTTCAAAACAGTAGGTTATGCGTTACAGTATGGCAACAGGCAAACTGTAACTAATAAAGCTCGTCTGTGCATGTTGAATCAACTTGTTTACCAGAGTAGCTGTCATGAATATCGAAACATTTTTACAAACCTTGGGTTTTCATAGCTTCTAGTCCTTTTAACTAGATTTATATATTAATATTACTTCGATTATGACATTTGCTTCGGTTGTCTTGAAAAAGCGTTTACAACATGTTGGGTCTCATGTTGCCACCTGTTTTTAAGAGAGTAATCGACATTCATAGATTGATAATGTGCTGTCCGCTATATTGCATTAAACTAAACATTGTTTTGTTTACATTTTAATGGTACTAGTACAATACGATATGTGATTGAAAACAAAAAAGTTTTAAAAAAACTTCACGTAGATTCAAGCACAACAATAAGAAAAACATAACGGCATCGGTTTTGCTGACGGCTGAGATGCACAGTATCTGTAGTATTCTTCGAAATGAAAAGTCCGACCAGAATGATGTGCAGACGTGGTTACTTTATGATGAAACAGAAGTTCAAAATTACAAAGGTGTTCATATTGTAATCCAGTTCTTCATATCAATCATTCAATTTTGCTACACAGGGTCTATCTCAAGGTTGTTAGCTGTGGTCCTGGAGATCCAGAATTCAACAGGATTGTTTAATTAATGATTTTATTTTCACCTGATGTGCACTTAGAATTTTAATATTTTGAATAATTTCGGATTTGTTCAGCTGAGTAGTTTAGAGAGAGAATCTGCATTGAACAGCTCCATACCCTGTAGCTGTCAAAGACCACAGGGTGGCTTTCCTGATCGAACCAATTGATTTTCTAAACTGGAAAAAACACACATCTGCCAAGGCTCTATAAATGAACAATTTAGACCTGCTGTATTGTGGCTCTCCAGGACCAAGTTTGGCCTCTCCTGCTCGTCTGTCTGAAATGTGCTGAACTCTTTCAGGTTGGGCCAGTGAGTCTGCAGGTTTTCATTTTTTCGCTCAGCTCTTAGCAAGTGGAACGAGCTCGATACTTGCTTAATTGGACCAATTGAGCAGCTCCTTCTGCCTCTTCACATGCTGCTACTTTAAAGTCAGAGTCAGAAAACCCGCAGACCCACGAGTCTCCATGATTGGGCCACGCTGACATTTCTTTTGTTTAGTACGGCTAAATTGCACAACTCCACTCTGATCTTTTTCTCCTTTAGAAGATGAATTTCTCTGAAGTTTTTAAACATTCTAATCAGCTCTGCAAGATCTCCCCAGATGGCAAATATCTAGTAGGTATCACTGTGCTAAGTTGTGGCTCATTTGTTTTCTTTTTAAAACAATTCTGACAGAATAATTACTCACATAATAACTTGAATGATAACATTGTAATGTGTTGGGCGGAGCGGTAGCTCTGTGGCTAAGGATCTCTCTCCCTATCTGTGTGTCTGTGTGTCTCATGGAGAGCAAGGTGGGGTATGCGAAAAGACAAATTCCTAATGCAAGAAATTGTATAGGGCTAATAAAGTGATCTTATCTTATCTTATTTTATGTGTAACGTCCTTCCTAATCCAAGAGCATTATTTCTGCATTATTATTTTTGCAGTTTAAACCAACATTTTTAGCTTAAGAGAAAGTACCGAGTCCTGTGTTTTACCTTCTTCTGTTGTCATAACCCTGTTCAGGCAGAACCATGCAATGGCTTTGACCTACTTCCTCACTGGTCTTTACTGTTGGGTCATAGGCCACCTGTGTTCAGTACCGCCTGGTGGTGCGAGACCTGAACACCCTGCAAATTCTGCACCTGTATACCTGTCTGGACCAGATCCAGCATGTCGAGTGGTCCTCAGACTCTCTCTTCATCCTCTGTGCTTTGTACAAAAGAGGACTGGTGCAGGCAAGTAGCGTCTATACATTGGTTTCTGTTACTGAGCTAAGTTAAGGCTTTGTGTACTTGACTGTATCTACATTTATCCATCATAAAAAGCTATGAAGCCATCCAAGTTGACCAGTTTTAGTCCTGTAAATATCCCTCTAATTTGTACAACTAGACTAAATGTTAAAAAGCCTAAATGTTATTGTTTCATCCTACTATGACTGAAAAAATAAGCAAGAAATAGAAATAGCTTGTGGGTGGAATTATTATAACCATAATCCCAGTCTTTTTGCTTTGTCAATTTAAATTAGACGGATAATTTTAAAACAAGCAAGGAAGCAATAAAAGGTGTAAAAAAAAAAAGTGATGATTTAAAAATGTTTAGATTTACCCTTCATTTTTTTGACACTATTGGGCAAACTGACTGCTGCAGCAATAGTTTTAAAAAAAAGTTTTTGGATTATGTAACTAGCCAGTCTTCACAAAGCATTAGTCAGCTTTTCTGACCTCATTTACATTTCCTTACATGGATTTTAAAGTTTATCGATTTTCCATGGTAGGGGGTTAATGAATCAAGCCTTCAGGAGTGAAATACATACTGTATATGGAATATGAAACACTTCATCTCCTGTGCTTGTGTCAACAACCAGCTGGTGTACAAAACTTTAAAAAGCCAGAGTCCCTAGACAGCGATACAGTAGTTGTTTTTTTTTTTCTGCTGGGAAGTTAATCAGCTTCGTTTTCTTTAAAATGCAACATAGAAACGTGAAATCTTTACCTTTGCAAAGGTATCCAGCGCCGGTCCTTCATGCTGTAACCCTTTCAGTGGGCAGTCAGTGGGCGTGCGGCAAGGGAAACTTTCCCGTGGGTCAGAGTGTTATCAGGGCTGGGGTCAGTTAACGCTTTCCCGTGGTGTGTCCACAGGTGTGGTCACTGGAACAGCCAGACTGGCACTGTAAGATAGACGAGGGATCAGCGGGACTTGTCTCGTCGCGCTGGAGTCCGGACGGACGTCATATTCTCAACACCACGGAGTTTCATGTAAGCGTGAAGTCATGAGGAGCTTTACTTTACTTGAGGTCATCTGTTGCTGCCTGTAAGGAAGGACCTGAAAATAGCAGCCAGACAGTTCCAATTTTAAAGCTTCCCTTAACCCTCTCATTGCCTGCTGTGGCAAACTCTCATTCCAGTCCATGCTAATCCAGATGGAAACATGGGTTTAAGCAGATCTTGCTTATTCAGTTTTTGTTTTGACTTGGTACATAATTGCATTATTATTTAGTCTTTCCTTGCGATTGTACTAGAAACATTTAGACCCATAAAAATTGACAGAAGTAAACCCGAGACAAAATATTATTATATGAAGGAGCTTCTTAATATTTTGCCTATTTTAAAGAGTTGCGTAGTGCTTTTGTCATATGAATTGTAAATCTGCTCACAAGAAGACCGGTTTTTACCTGTTTTTTATTATAACACTGCCCCCTTCAGGAAACTTGAATCCAATCCATAAAGTTAGTCTTTCCTAAGATTTTTATTTATTTACAAAAAAAAAAAAAAAACACTTTACCGGATATATAGCATTATCTTGCTTTTTTCTTTTTAGGTGCAGCAAGCAAAACTTTAATAAATAGGTAATAACATTACTTTGCATGCAGAAGGAGTATGTTCAAGTACATTAAAAGCAGTGCTTTGCATTTACCTTGCACATCTGCATTTCTCTTGGAAAATGGTAGTCGTCCTGTATGTATTTATAATAAAGTAATAATGTGGCATGCAGTCTGTTCCGTCAGCCTGTTTGGATTATGCTTGGGCACTGTGCCTCAGGAGGGCTAGACTGTCGCCTAAACTTGACTCCAAAAATTACTGACAGGTGTTGAGTCCAAGTGCAACTGTGTCCGAGGGAGGAAAGTGTGTGTAGGGGGGGAGGCTGGTATGTTTCTTTGTGTCTGTCCTTCTCACAAAGTTGAACCAAGCTGATGTTTCACTGTTTGTGTGGCTAAAAAAGATCTGGTGAGGGTCACTGTCTGGGCTGCCAAGGGTGTAATGTGTACCAGGCCTGAATATAGGAAGGACAAGCTGTCCAGAGGAATGTTTCTTGAAACAGACAACAAACACGTACTCAAACAAGTTTGGTTATCAGTGTGCAGGGAGCTACATCAATGGCACAGGAGGCTGTAAATTGGAAAATGACTGGAAAGCTGGCTTGACTCTGGAACTCTTCAAAAAAAAGATTTTTTTATGGGGAAAAATCTGACCAGGAGTTGCGGGGGAGCCGCGTCACAGTCTGACCTCACCTTCACCCCCTCCGACTCATTAAGAGTTTGCCAGGCTGGGCTGGTGTATGTATCAAGATTCAGTTTCACACCGGCTGTAAACAGGATGCTAAATTAACTTGTTTAAGACAGCTGCTGGGGGTTATTACAGCGTCTGTTTTCTTTGCCTGCCCCCTCCACCTCCACTCACCCAAGTACAGTACAGTATATCCTTTGACCGCTGGGACACTCCAGCACAATTTATCCCCTCACAGCTGGCACGGTCCGCCGAAAGAGACAGGACTGCAGAAATGATAACCCAAGAGGGAAGAGCAGACCTGAGCCTGAATGGCCCTATGGGAACGGGCCTGGCTCTTGGGTTGGGAGGCGGAAATACTTTACTGTTGTTCACAGGTTGGGCGTCTCCGTGTGCTCGCGCTGTGCTGTCAAGGAGGGCTCAGAGTACCCGACAGAAGAGAGTGCCAAAGCAGGACTTCCAAGTGACACTGTAAAAGTAACACTGTAATTGAAAGTTAAGGCATCAGGTTCAATTGGACAGCCGTGTTATCGGCCCATTCAGGTGTATCCATTATGGTGTTTATTAAGGAATGTACACATTTTATCGAACTGCCCTCACACTCAGTTCACTACATCACACTATAATCCTGCTCAGGAGAGTAACATGTAATTTAAAAATACCCAAGTAAATGGTGCGGGCAGTCACTTCTCACTAACCTAACAGCTGTCTCAACACGGCAGTGACTGAAAAAAGGTTGAGCCGGTGTATTTAGCCCAGTTGAGTCGAGGCTGAAGCACCTCACTCTGTTCATGGTTGTAAGAACGTCTCGGCCTTTTGAGGGTGATAATTCCACGTAATGACACGCTAGCAAACGTTTGTTTACTATTGGTCAGTTATTTTTTACAGGGCAATAAAAAGTCATGACTGTTGTTTGCCTAATCAAGCTAAATAATAAAGCCATTTTGGCCTATAAAATGAAGAACATTTGAAGACTTGTAGTGACTCAGATATGGTTGGTTGTCCCGATAAGTGGCTCATCATGGAAGGACAGGATATTTTGCTTTTCATATTTAGACATGAAATGGACTGTATTTTTTTAGGATTATTTGGCCTCCTAATGTTCTATTTCATCTGAACCATCGCCTGGTGTCAGATGGCTGTAATTGTAATATGTGGCCTGTGCAGATGGACACAGTTAATCCACTTGCTGATTGAATGGTAATGAAAAATAATCAGGAGGATAAGTGATCACGTGCAGCACGGTGGCATACCAGTTAGCATTACTACCTTAGATTGCTGGGGCCCTTGGTTCAATTCTTGACCTGGGGTGCTTTGTCAGCAGCTATATCACCCAGCAACCCAGAACTGGCAACCCACTGAGGCTGAGCAGGTGTGAGCCAGGCCAGTACCAGGATGGGAGACGTCCTGGGAAAATCCAGGTTGCTGCTGGAAGAGGTGTTGGTGGGGTAGTGGGTCTAGTAGGGGGTGCTCACCCTGCAGTCTGTGTGGGTCCTAATGCCCCAGCACAGTGACGGGGATACAATACTGTAAAAAGGCACTATTCTTTGACTGAGACGTAAAACCAAGATCACAAAAAATCTCCTGTCGTCTCTCAAAAAGAGTAGTGGTGTTACCTGGCCTTTAATTGCACATACAAAACTGCAAATATAGTGCTTCTTTTTAACTTTATCGTGATGACCCAGATCCATCATCACAGTCTAATGTCTGACCCACAGTACTAGAGACTGCTGAAAATTATAACCGTGTAACAGGAGAATTGTGCTATATTAGTTTGAAAATGTTTTGTGATGTGGAATGCATACAACCTAATCCTTTGCTGACAGACCCATCTATGTAAAGATTCCCCACAAAGTCAGTCTCTCACACATTTTTTATAACTGTTGTCTGCTGAGATCTACCTCCCTCTATCAGCTGTTTAAAAGCATCATTTGTTTTTTTTTTTTTGGTTGTCTGGCAGGGGGTGCTGTTTTATCAGGTTACTTTTAGAATACAGCAGTGTTGCTCAGCTGTGATGCTTCAGTGGTTATATGAAGAGTGTCAGCCTTCTCAATCCAAGGTACCTTGTGGGCACTTCTCAGATAAAGCTCACATTAATTAGATGTACCAGCTAATCCTGTGCTGGGTGCTGCTCATTAAACTGCAGTAAGGCCTGTAATGGTTAGCTAAAGATTGTAGTTACTGAGCCTTCTTTTTTCTCACATCACTGAACAACAGCTGAAGGGACAGTTAGAGCCCTTCCCTATTACTGCTCCCGGTAAAGCTATGCCTGTCCGGCCTGGATCTGTGTGGGTTTTGAGGTGTAGATTTACTTACAGAAATGTTGCGTGGGATGCCGGAGCTGTTGAGTGGCATTTCTCGCCTGTTTTCTTAATATACCTTTTGCTGCTGCTGCCTAAGCTCTTGGGTTACATTAATCAGGGACGCATTCTGACAGAGACCTACCCTCTTCCACCCGATAAGACCAGACTCACCCAAGATGTGTTTGAGCTCTATTGACGTGGTTTCTATAGCAACGTGTGGGGAAAACCGAGAAGGAAGCATCCCTCCTAGTTGTCTGATCGCGTGTGCAGCATGTCATTCCTGGAGGGAGATCTGTACGTGCCCAGATGAGGCCAGAGCTGAGGAACATAAGTGTTGGAAGCATCTGCCAGGGTCTGACATTAAGAAAAGCACAATACTCATTCCACTAATTTAAGAGATTTCATGTTAAAATGGCATCGTGTTCTAGTTAGGCCTCATTTAGAATATAATATACAGTTTTGCTTGCCGTATTACTAAAAACCCGTCTGGAACACAGACGAGGTGTCTTAGTGGAGGATGTGCTGAATGAAAGTTCTTCTTTTGTTGTGTCCCTCTCCACTGTTTCAATTAAGAAAATCAACTTTTTGTCAGTCTTCAGATGCATTTTGTATCTCTTTGGTACAATCTCCAATGCAGGTGCACATTCTGTATACAAAAGTGCAACAGATGGTTTCATTTAGGGTTTCAAAGATGTATTAAAAAATCTGTAGTTTGTTGGTTTATGTTACAAAGCGTACATGGTCAGTAAATAGCAGATCATTCCTTTACAATAAAAAGCACTTTGCAGATTGAGCACAGCAAAAGCTCCTTCATGATTTAAGAGCCTTGTCACGTTCAACAGGAAAGTGTTGGTTCAGAAAATGAATTGGAATAACTGCATTCGGCACTGACCTAGTCCCAGCTTTTGTTTGACCTTGGCCAAGTGCAAATCCTTTCAGATCCATGGATAACTCACGGAGTGATGCTCAGAAACAAAGTTTTTTAACCTTGGAAAAATGTAGAAAGAAAGTAACCACACTGCTGTCAAATGATGCATATAAAGACAGCATGGATGTAAAGTGAACCTATTTCCTTGCTGTAACACCATTAGTACCGCCAACCTCTTTTTCGTTAAAGCCGAGTATCTTTCAGAAGGACTACTGATATTACAGGAGAACAGAGGTAAATCAATTACAGAATGTCACAACGCTAAGACCACAGGTTAATCTTCAGTATACCATGTATGCTGAATAAAATGATTTAGTCATCAGTATTTCACACTAGATAGGTAAGGAATGGATACATGTGCTTCACATTGTGTGTATGTTTTATACCTGCTAAGAGAACTGACTGTTTCTTGTTTTGTTTTTTTTCCCCTGACAGCTGAGAGTCACAGTCTGGTCCTTGTGCACCAAATCTGTGTCTTATATCAAATACCCCAAAGCTTGTCAGCAGGGTGAGTATACATGTTTGAGAGAGGCTGGGACAGACCTGCATTAACCCTGCTAGCTATGAACTGCTGTCCTGCACTGACTGGTAACTCTAGAGCAGGACCTGCATAGTAAGCATTAGCATCTGGTGACAGCTGTGCCTCAAGGCAATAAATGGCAAAAGCATACTGTACAAAATATATCTGTCAGCATCGAGTAAAAATGATCGTTCTGGGCACAGGCCACGCACTGCTGCCCTCCAGAGACTATGGCAGCATTTACAGCACTCAGGACAATCTTGAAAGCAACAGTATTTAAGCCCCATTTGACTACAGAGTAAGGGAGAAGCTGCAAATCAGACGGAGTCTCCCGTTTTCAAGCTGATTATGACAGTCTGCTCGTTTTCTGAGGGTTCTTGAGTGACTTAACAAATTTTCATTTTCCTGCTTTGTATTATTAATTGAAGTGGTAAGAATTTACTGTGTGCCACACTCATGCAATACTCCATGCATCTGTTCCCCTATAATTCCATTTGGTTGTGTAAATCTCTTGTGTGTATGAATTTGATCCAATAATATTCAATGTATTTTTGGTAAAACATTGAGTATTCTTATTGAGCTGAGGCTCTGATTGCTCTGGGATCACCTCTGATTTTCTTGTTGGTGTAAGTGAACCAATCGATTGCAGTGTATTGCAAAAGACAGAAAGGTACTAGTACAGCAAAGCTTTGTGAATTGATCTAGGTGTACTAAGAGGATAGTCGCAAAAGAACAGGCATGCTTTCTCAGCCAAAGTACCGTATGTGCTGTCGTTTGTCAAACAACAGAAGAAATGCACAGGTGTGTGCAGACTCTTAAAGAAAGCCTTAAGCTGAATTTAAAGTGGAGTTCACCTGTGCTGTTAATACTTATGATGTTAAAGATGCGTCGGTCTGTGGATTTCAGGGATTGACTTCACCAAAGACGGCCGCTACATGGCCCTGGCGGAGAGGAGGGACTGTAAGGACTACGTCAGCGTGTTTGTGTGCAGAGACTGGCAGCTGCTGAGGGTGAGTGGCCCCCCAGCCCAGGGGCAAGCAGACTTCCTGTTCTCGGCCAGAGCCAGGGGCTGGGCAAGAGCAGTTTAGATGAAACAGTTACTGAAATCTCTTAAAGTTACCCTTTAAAGCGTAATCAGGTACTATCTGTAATGCAGAAATCTGTAATGGTGCTGCATGTTAGTTCCATGAATTAGGGACACCACCCATCACAGAAAGTTAAGTCTTGTATCTGCAGACAAAAACAAAAATGATGCCAAAGAAGATTGGTCAAAGAAACTGCATGGCAAGCAGGTTTGGTCTTACCTTTAAACATCTTGATCAGACGTGCTGACGTTTCAATTGTCCATCTTGACAGTCGTGATTTTTGGGGGCTGTCTTTTGTTTCCCTTTGGCAACTAACGTTTCACTCATGACTCCTATAAGCACAAATCAGGGCTTTGGTCCGTTTGCACAGTTGAGAGCCTTGTATTTGTGTGCAGGAGGGAACATACTTCCAGCAAGTATATGTTTTCTTTAAAAATTCAGTTTATTTAATGAGGAAGCTTATGCTATTTTGTTTTGCCCTGGGTTTTCCAAGGGGCAGGTCCCAGACACACAGCTCAGGCCTCACACCTGTAGAGCTTTCATTGAACTGATTGTCATGGCAACCAGCCAAAGGCAGGAATTAACTCTTGCCAGTGTGAACTGTCCACTACAAGCAAAAACACTGCTCATCACGCAAAAACTCTAAATGTGAACTAAAAAGGAGAAAAAGAAGGTAAAAAAGCCTTCTTTATTTAGAAGAATACAAAACATTAAAGAATAAGACCATTAGTAAAAGTGTGAAAGAAAACATCGCTGCAGTGTAAAAATGAACACCTGAACAGACTACAGAAGCTTTTAAAGATGGCATGCTGCAAAGAACAGGATGGAAAAGTGAACTATATTTCTCATAAACCACAAATCACCAACCTAAGTACATTTTATAGGCCATTCTAAATCAGACGCTTCTAGAGATTGGGAACACTTGAACATTGAGCAAGTAAATTAAATCCTTGAAAGTCCTTGAAGGATGATGGGTACTAAGGGTTTGTGATAATCTCTAAATTACATCATTTTACATATTACCTGCTCAAATGATTATATTACTTTTACCAGTACATTAGAAATTGATAGTTTAATAGTGACGTGCTGGAACAGTGTAGGAAAACTACAAAATTGAGGGGGATTAATTATACGTTCTTCTGTTTTACTTTTCTTGCCTTTTTAAGTATAATTCAAACATAATAGGAATGTCACCCTCATTCCAGCACTTTGAAACGGAGACTCAGGATCTGGCTGGACTTGAGTGGGCTCCCAATGGCTGTGTGCTGGCAGTGCTGGACTCCTGTCTGGAGGTAACTGACCTGCTGGGATTAACTAATACTGTCTGCATGACACTTCGGGACACGGATAAAACTTTGCAGAGATAAAACCATTTAGGTCATGAACCACAATTGTGTGAATTAATATAAACGCTCTGCATTTATATATGGGGGATTTCATTCCATTATCAAGTGTTTTTTTCTTTGCTGTAAATTGATGCAATTTGTGATCTTTTTCTTTTTACTAAGTTTCTAATTAATTGACTAATGCCTTTTGAAAGGCATTCTAATAAGCTACAAAAGTATGAAATGACAGTTCAACACAGGCAATAAAGTTAATTTCTTAAAAGATTCTGGAGTGGTTCAGCCAAGCCTGTTAACATTTCATACTCCCTGGCCAGATGTTTATAAGAGGTCTATGTAATCGCTAAGGAAGCCAAGATAAAACTTTATCTGATATAAGCTTGGCTGGCCAAATTCATGACCACAAAGTTCAAGTGGTATTTTTAAAATAATGAAAATGAACAATGACAAGCTGTAAAGAAGGAATGTGTGATATGTAAGCCAAAACACAATCCTACCAATATCTCCCAGTACAAGGTGCTGCTGTACTCTCTGGATGGGCGTCTGCTGTCTACTTACAGTGCCTATGAGTGGTCTTTAGGCATCAAGTCTCTCGTGTGGAGCCACAGCAGTCAGTTTCTGGCTATTGGCAGCTATGATGAAAAGGTAATTTCTTCAAATTATTATTAGTATTTCTCAATTCATCTCCAAAGTTTCTCCTGAAACATTAAATAACCTTTAAACTTGCTCGCCACAGCCATTGTGGGTTTGTATATGGGTACGACTTTTACATTTTTTTTTACTAAAATTCTTTAAACTGAAACAGGTGCGAATTCTAAATCACATTACCTGGAAGAAGATCACAGAATTTGAGCATCCTGCAGTCATTAGCAACTCCAAGGTGGTAAGTACTGTATGTTATGTTTTAAGGTACATAACACTTTGTAACTACAGTGAAGTAGCCAATAAATAAAGCATATGTGAGAAAAATCAGTCTTCTGTTAAGAGCCGTATATTTAACTATTAGTAAGGGTCACTTGTCCCCAGGTTAGAGATACTGAATTGTTCTTTACATGTATAGTATACATTTATTTCCAGCCTCTGTTACTGGAGTTATGCACTATTTTCCCTATGGATCTGCTGTTTTCCTTGCAGCTTTAAGAATGTTGTAAGGGGTCAGGTTCCAGACGTCTCCTTCCCCTTCCCCACAGCCCAGTGCTTTTCTCCCTCACATTGATGCAGTGCCCTTTCTCAAAGGTGTGGTCTGCCGGATTGCTGTGCTCACTTTATTTTTCTTCTAATGCTCACAAGGTTGTGTATAAAGAGGTAGAAAAACACCCTGTTGTTGGAAATGAGGATCTGTCCTTCCACCACACTTTATCCATGGGGAACTCGCTCTTCAGCACCCAGAGCAAATGTGAGTGGCCTAAACCGATCTGGATGAATTAGATTTTAAAAAATTTGTACTGACATTGCTGTAAATCATGATAACAATGTATTACCATAGCGCATTGCTCCATGTCAAAGTATGTCTTTTTTTTCCTGTCATACAACTGATTTTCTAGTGTTTCAAGGCTGAGAAAGAGCAGTATCCAAATTATCTACACCTTTTTCTTTCAACACCTTTTTGCCCTATTTGCTAGCTTTTCTCCAGCTCTTTCTGATACCTGCTTAGTGGGGTTGACTAAGTTGAAAGATGCCGGTAAAGGGTTAAATTGAGACAGCTGTTCCCATGCTTCAAGAGATCAGACCAGCATTTAAAGCAGTTCAACTGAGGTGGAACAAGAGCTCATTACCACCCTCAGTCCCTCCATCTAGTCTTTCTTAGGAGTTTTTAGAGAGCAGCATGTACTACTTCAGCATGAAGCATGTGCTGTAATATCACATGGAAATGTGGATTCTTGCAGAAATAGATGCATGACCTGCCTGTCTGTCCTCCTGTCACCTGCTGTTCAGAAACTGACAAACTGAAAACTGAGAAGGCTGACATATTGCCAAAAAGAAAAAAAAAACTAGAACACTGTAGATTGTCATCATATTCCTGTATTTTTTTACATGTACAAATATTTGTACTACAGCTGGAAATACTTTGAAGGTTTAAAGTGCATCTTAATACATATTGATGTATGTATGCATTCTCTTTAAGGATTCGTACCTCTTTCTCAATTTTATAGATGAGATCTGCCCGCTGCCAGTTCAAATTCCTGTTGTTAAACCAGATCCTGATCGAGCAAATCCCAAAATTGGCATCGCCTGCATGGCTTTCAGCTCAGATAACCGGTACCTTGCGACGAAAAATGGTAAGCATGCCTTCATGCAATACAGACCTCTTGTTATAAATGTATGTAAATTACTTTTTTTCAGCTTTTATGGCAGTTTCTAGGTCATTGCGTAATAACACCCCTGCAAAATATTAAAATTATTCATAATAAATATTACTCAAAGCCAATAAAGCCAAACTCACTAATGCCACATTAAGTCATCAAGGCTGAATCCTAATTCAAATGGTCTCTAATGGTAAGACTTGCACCTCTCAGTCACAGAGGGGCTTCTCATGACCTGACATGTCTGTCCAGTTGGATTACCCGACACTCAACTTTCTAAAAGACTGCACAACACTGCAGGCTATGTGTGAGAGCTGTGGGTACTCAAACAGCCACCCCCCTTCCAAATTCACATGGAGACAACAGCCGCGCCTGATCTCATAAAACGATACCTTTGGAATTCACACCAGGGCTGATTTTTTTTTTGCCCTGCTCGTCTGCCGCCCTGCAGACAGCATGCCGAACAACGTGTGGATCTGGGACATGCAGAAGCTCCGGCTCTTCGTGGTCCTGCAGCAGGTGGCGGCCGTGCGCGGCTTCCAGTGGGACCCCAGACGCCCGCGGCTGGCAGTCTGCACCGGGAGCAGCAAGGTCTTCCTGTGGTCTCCGGCTGGCTGCGTCTCTGTGCAAGTGCCGGTTGAAGGTAAGGAAGCACAAGCACTAGCGTGTGGAGAGAGGGGGCAGGAGGCTGCTGCCGAAAAGAACATAAGTTACAGATGTCTGGAGGTCTTCTGTCTGATGTTGCCTGGATGTGAATGCAGTTACTTTTCATACGTAAGACTCCTTTCTTACAGTACTTGTCATCCTGATCTTCCATAAAGAAATAGATCCATTTTACAGACCAGAATAAATGTCACTCTTTATTTTCCCTAACTTCTTTTTGTTAAAAGAAATGCTTTGGCTGTAAGGGCTCAATCCTATGCAGACTTTAGGGTTGAAAAGTTATGCCTTTTTAAAACTAAAAAGAGAAATGATGGACCAAACTTTTGAATTCACCCATTGTGTGCAAGTTACTTCTTTAATGTTGTACCCGTTACTTTGTGGTATCAGTTCTGTTAGCACAGTGCTTTAGAGCTCCTAACTGTTAGCAGTTGTTTCATGGTCTTGTTGACAGAGTAGAGCAATCTTCATGGCTTCACTTATTTACCCCTTGCATTGTGACAGACAACCAGCTTGACTGAGCAATACAGATTTCTTCAGCAGGAGACAGAACTGTCTTGCAAATTCCCAGCCAGCAGCTAGTCTGCTTTATCAGAGCTCATCAGGATGACTGACCCCACAAAAGGAGATGGGACCACCTTTACCTTTATATACAACCAAAATGTCATTGACAGAATGAGAAGTTGTCAGACAGTTCTCTCTCTTTTAGTGTTGCCTACATTCATGCCCAGAACTGACTGCAATTGCTGTTCTTAACGCCCACTAAAACTTGGGAGGGTTTTCATTCATATCAAAAGGTTTTTCGGCATCATTCTATCAAACTCTGTTGTTCTTTTCAGGAAATTTCCAGGTTCTCACGCTGAGCTGGCACTCTAGTGGCAACTCCCTCGTTCTCCTGAGCAAAGAACACCTCTGCTTATGCTACATGGAAGAACAGGAGGACAGCTGAACAGGCTGGGGGCTATACAGGAGCAGCCTGTGGTGAAAACAATGAAAGTAAACGGCAATATCAGCCTTTGACAGACGCTAAATGTTGTTCAGACATGAAAACCTTAAGGGTAGAAATAATAGTTCCCAGATTGATTGCATACCATACAACGTACTCTTATCTTTTGATTACCAGAGATCCAAATGTAAAGGTCAATTTTTAAACACTGACCTGTACACCAGCAAGAACACAATGATACTTGAATATAAAATGTTTAGTTTAGAAGGAATGATTACCCCAAAGAACTGGAATGTAAAAATAGTAGTCTATAGCTCAGCATTGAGGTACAAATAATCAGTAGGGACCAAAAAGAGGTATTTTATTACACACACTGAATGTAGCAGAATCATTACTTAAGAATGTACAGATTTGTAATATTGCTTGTTTTTGTCCTGTATAAATATTGAATGTTTATATTTTCTAGAAGAGTTACAATATTTTTCAATAAACTTTGACACAAATTACAGTCTGTAACACTAACTCATGGGTGTTTTTATTTTGACAACTACTGTTGGTAAACCATTTCAAGTTCAATGCACGCACACTCAGTTATAGTACACTAAGACAGAGAAGTTTTATTTTGGGTCCTTGGAACAGAACATGCTCAGATTAGGAAGACTTCAGTTGTGACAAGGTGCAACAATCACCTTTTTATAAATAATGCAAGTAAAAACATTTTCATACAGAGCTTAGTAGACAGTTATTTTCACTGTGATTCCCCAACCATAAAACAAGATATTAATGAGCACTATTGGAAAAGGGGATGAAATAATATAATTGTATTGAATGCATTTTGCTGCATAGCAATGAAGTGTTAAAACTATACTCCATTTACAAAAGTTCTATTAATCATTTACTAGGAATATTAGCACATTTAGGAATCATCAATAAATACTGCAGTGGTGTTGGATGCTATGTTTTCTTTAGATTGAACAAATAAGTGATTCTTATTAAATCATTCACAACTAGAAAATGTGCTACAAATTACAAATCGTCAATTTCCCTATTTGCCATCATAACACTGCCATCACATTTTTCATTTGGATTGACCAAAATCAGCCCACGTTTAGATGTGTCCATTTTTGAGTGGGAAGATTTCTCACATCTGCCAGCTCTGCAACAACACATGTATGTCAAACATACTGCTTTTTATGACAATATAGAATTATACTACCACTATTTTTGGTAAAGAGCTTTGACTTCAGAGGAGTGGTGTGCTACTAAATGATCAGAACTACTATATCGTTAGCAGACTGTGACCATTGGCAATACACAGCTGGCCAAGTGTCACAGGGGATGTGTTGGCTCATGGAAGCTAGGATGTACCGAGCAACAGAGATCTTAACACCTTTCAGGGACACACGAGGTCCAGTGTAGCCCCTCAGCATCTCTTCTCCAATTTACACCAACTCTTCAGGAAGCACAGATTGTCCAGTAGGATGGCTCATGATAAAGATTCTGATAAGGAATCTGGATTTCATCATCTTTTTCCCTTGGGCCAGGTGCACACTAACCAGGTAATGAGAGTGAGTGATTACCAACCGGCAATAAGAAATTGCAAATTAAGAAAAGTGAAACCTGGATTTCGCAGCACTACAGGCACAGCAGCGGTGAGACAATTTAATTTCTGTCTGTGCAATTGCCATAGCGTTGTAAGCAAAAGAGATTAATACTAATTCTGAGACTCTCTTAAAGAAGGCATTAGTCTCAACCCAGCTGCAGTAAAGACAGACAATTGCCAACTTCTAAAGCGAACAGTAAAATGAAATTCATATCAAACCTGCGATCTATGACAGTGGGGAAAAAACCATCAGTAGATAGCCGAGACAGCCACTTCAAAGAAATCACATTCCTCAAAACGCACCATCACAAAAGCATTCACTCACATTAAACAAACTTTCGAGCTGAGGGCCAGAGGCACATGGGGGTCCCAGATCCACAAAAGAATGAGGAAAACCAACACTCAGCAGCAAGTAATGTTGTAGAATTCATTAATAGCGAGTGTCAACTTCAAATGTGAACTAAAATCTGAACTGGAATATCCTTACTAGGAGGAACTTGATGTTTTGTAGCCCGAACACTCTGAAGACCCCCAATGAAAAACACAATCAGTCTAATCCTGTTCTCAACACCTAACTCTGATCAGCCTTTCCTTTTTGCCATTTCCAATCTCATCAGGTAGTCACTAAATTAAGGTAAAAAAAGATTATAAATTGATAACATTGATAAGTTGATAACACTCAGCAGCAAATAACACCTCCCTTTTTGATGAGCTTTGTTTCATATAACAAGCATGTGCTGTAGGGTACTGCAGATGCTACATCCAGGTACTGTACAGTAGTGTTCATACAGTACAACTAGTTTGAGAAAGCTGTTGGCTTTTACAAATCTGCAGCTCCACCCTTGAAAGCACAACGGAACAACAAAAAAACTACCAGAATTTGACAGTTAAAACATTGTTCTCCCAGAAAAATTAATGATTCTTCCTCCTTCAGAACTGCATTAAAACAATCCAAAAATAAATCTCCTACGTTTACATTTTGCAAAAAGATGACATTATACAAAAGCCACTACCTTAAAAGAAAATCCCCATCCATATCCCAAAATCACATACCTGTCTGAATGTGTGTAGAAGTTAACTCTTGTAGAAACTGATTTTCAAATTGAAAGAATTAAAACACACTTGGCTTTTGAAATTAGTTTAAACACGCACAAATGACATTTTAAATGTTTATCAAGGGTTTTTTCTGCCCCCCCCTTAACAGTCACAGAAAATGTCACCATGTTATTTCATTAGGATGTTTGTCCCGAACTCGGCATGCAACAATCATGCACATTCACATAATAAACTTTCGTTATTACAGACAAAGGACTCTCTAATCCTGACCATCTCTTCTTTGGTACCACAAAAACCACAGTGTGTAGTTTCACAGAAAAAAAACGGGCAAAAACAGCATTGAACCGTCTCATGTCTGGAAATGGATTCATGCTGGACCAAAGGTAGACTACAGCCAATATTACACTTCAATTTCCCTCTTAAGTCAAGTTACATTCTCTAACCAAATCGCTTATTGAATTTAACCACAAAAAAAAACATTAAAATTCAGAAATAAATTTAGCATAAGTGGGCAGAAAGGTTAACTTCTATAAAAACAGCAAAAGAACATGCTGAACATTTTAGGCAACAACTCATGGCTTGTTTTCAAGGCACCTCTTGACATAAACGCACTACATCTAAAAAGATTTTTAAAAAAAAGCCATGTTTGTCTTTTTCTGTGAAGGAGTTTCTGTGTGCTCTGGGTTCTGCAGTGATCACCGATACAATAATTAGACAACTTTTACAGGACTTTCATTTTTATTTCTTTCTGCCAAGGGAAATTTTAAAAACCTACCTCTTGCAATTTGTAGATGTTTTAATTTAATCCTGTCTCATGCAATGCATTTCACTAAAAGCTCACATTACTATAGTAGACAGCAACCCAAACATTCTTAAAACATGGTTATTGTTGCAGTAAAACTCATGGATTTCCATTTAAAACATACAAACAAAAAAGGAAAGTTTGCGATTTTCAGTTGGACACTCACAGTCTGAAAGCGTTTGCCAGCAATCGCACCAAACAGGAATGCTGAAAAATGAGCAGCATATTTTCATTTCCAGCTATAAAGCGATCTTTATGTTAACTGGTTCAAGACCAATGGAATAAATTCTTCATTCCACTCATCACAAGAAATAGCAGAAGCAACTCCAATAAATTATTGTGCTTGGTCACCAGGAAAAATACTGACTGTGCAGAGGTTTACAGTAGGAGGAAAACTGCATAACAGAATGCCTGTTAAATGTACAACAGCTTTCAGGACATTTCAGCTCACAGCTGTGACATCAGCTGAAAAGCAGTCTGATATCTGCTGCTCTGCTGAGTCCATGCACATACATCCAGTCCTTTACAAGAAAATGACCACACGCGCTTCGAATCTTAGCAAGCGCTTCCTATACTTGTGCACGCATGCCACAAAGGTGTTCTGCCTTGATATTGGAGCACTGACAGGTCCATCTGCATCCTACAACAAACATCTTCCACAGCACAGGTTCCAACAACCATCCCCACATTTCACACAACACAGCAGTAAAGAATGAGGACATACACTCTGCAAAACGCCCCATATCTGTACCGGGATCCGTTTGCATTGATACCACCTCAGAGTGTACACAAGTTACTACTGCCCGAGGGAGAAAAAGGGACTTTTGAAAATACTTCATACAATCAGAAAAAAACACCTGTATCCCTCACTCAAAATATTCCACTAGCACACTGCTCTATGTAATCCTTTTCATAGGTCCAAGATAAAAGTTCTAAAAAATTAATCATAAATTAACATCTTGATAGAATCACTTTGTACAGTAATATATAATAAGCTGCTTGGCAGTAGAGGGTGATGCAGATCACCTCTCTGGCTACTGGTGTTTAGCTCATGCTGATGCATTATTAAATTTGCAGTCTACACGTCTAGCATACTGAGGGAAGTAACAGATGACAGAGATCTGGTCACAGTTATAGTGCACAAATGTATACTTAGCTCACACTGTAGAATAATGTGTTAATTAGGGATAAAAACAAGCCTAAAAAGAACAAGTTAGAACCCGATTTTGCCTCTGGTCATGGAGTATCCCAGCTTCGCCTCATTGTTGATGAAGGACATTAAGCCCACATAGGTCTCGATCAGGAGGGGCCGCTCCAGGATCAGAACTCCGTTGGCTCTTCCGGGCAGTGGGAACTCCTTGTGTGCCTTCTTCACTGCCTGGATCAGCTGGGTCTTGAAGTTCTCCAACTGCAACAGACAGGGATGTCACTCAGACAGAGAACAGTGTGGGGAAAACAACTAGCTGAGCTCTGCAGTGAAAGTACAGTGACTGGAATCTTAAGACGGAGTGACTCAGGATCCCTCGCAATTTTCCAGTCAACAATCGATATCCCAGAGCAGCCCAAGTGTTGAAAGCAGTAATAAAATTAAAGAAATACAAATGCAATTGATCATAATGTCCCCATCTCTGTGAATGTATGCCATGTGTTTGTGTGGCCAGGGTTGAAGTATTTAACGAACAGCTCCTTGTCAGCAGATGAACAAAGGTCAGACAGGGTTGTTCTGACTCGGTTTTGAATGTGATCCGAGTTGCGTGTACAAGCAATCACACACTCTTGAAAGAGAGTCATTGTAAATGTTAATCTAAGGAGCTATGCCTTACTGCATTTCCGGACAGGAGAAAAAAAAAAGACCCATACAGCTAGCGGATTTAATTAATAATTTGGTGTTCCATACAAAACTGGTAAAATGGTGAAAGGGACAGTCTGTGCAGTTACCTGGCAGAGGGAGGAAATTTTCTCGTCGGCGTTGGCCATGGGGTGTTCTGTGAAGGTGGCATAAGGCACATCCGTAGACCAGGGGTTCCAGCGGTTGATAAAGGTCGGCCGGGCGCGTTTATCCCACTGGACCCTGATTCCAAAACCCTCCCTCCTGGAAATACACGCCAAGCCGTGAAGAGCTAGAACTAATCCACTGTTGCTCAACAGGAGAGCGTGCCGCTATCCGTTAGTTATGTCAGGATGACGTGTGCGTTTTACACACAGCCACCAAGCGCTCTTTCAAAAAGCCAAGGAAACACAAAGCTGTTACAAGTTAAACAATTGTAATAGGACATCCTACAGTACAACCAAACCGAAAAAAGGCTGTTGGGCCACAGATGGAAACATGAAAATAGAGGACATCTTCTCAAAATGAAAACCAATTGCCAGTTTGTCCCAGTTAGGGTGTTTTCAGCTACGTTTCGTCTTGCAGTGTGGTGAGAAACGATGAAAACACACGCCAACACTTCAGCTGGGTTTTGATCATAGTTTGAAAGTGTTACAAGTGAACAGAACATGTCTATCTACAAGGATGTGCTAGATGTTTTTAGCAACAATCTGCTTTGGCAAAAATAATACGAGCAGTTGTCCCTAACAAAACAGAAGATCACAGCAAGCGTGCCAGCTTTACTACAGCTCATCCAAAATGAAAACACACTAAACTGTAATTAAATCAAATCTACCAACTAAGAAAGACACAGCTGAGGTATCTCAAAATGTACTGGCAAAGAGCTGTGGTTTGACTGGCTGTGTAGCGAACAGAATCCATAATGTAAAAGATCTTACAGAAACAACTCCAGGGAAGTTTAAAGTATCAATACTACGGTTTTAGCAACTGCGCCGATTGCCTTCATATTTGAAAGTGTGCTTTGGGATGATCCAAAAAAAGGAAAACACTCGTACCTCAGCAGGAGTACCTGCAAAATGTCTTGAGGTTTCAGCCTAACCCCAGGCTATCTCTCCGACCCCCGCCTCCAGTACACCTTGCGTGGTATTTCTGATCTAAAGCCACTCTTTCCTCAGTCACTGGAATTGATATCAAGACTCCAAAGGTGCTCAAGTGCTGTTAGAGACCAGTTCTACAAGCCACTACCTAAAGCTCTGAAAAAAAATCTAAAAAACCCCACTGACACAGGATCTTCACATAAACGATATGGAAGACAGTGTTGTAATCTATAGTTTCTGGAACATGTGGCTACTAGATAGACCTTCAGGGAAAGCATGCTCTCTTTAGGACACAATGCACACTAGCGGTCTTACTTGTTGAGGGATTTGGCGGGGAACTCGAACTCTCCAATCGAAATGGTGTCCACAGCATTGAGAGAAACTCTAATCACCTGCTGGCACTGCAGGTTGATGAAGTCATACTTGCACACCAGCAATGACCTGCCCGGAGAAGAAGAAGGGATCGATTCAGCACGGGAGGAAATCAAAAGGTCTCACTGCATCCGCCAGACACTGGTGGGGCAATCGGTAGAACTGTCAAGATGGTGTGGATGCCGAAGGACCCCCTCGTGTGTACTCGTCAAATCCACCAGTGCCATTCTTACTGCACAAGACACTGTATTATAAGGCACATACAACACAAACCTGCAATAGATTATTTGGGGTTTCTGCATGTAGGTACCCTTCAGAAGGAAAAACTAAGAACGACCTTCCATGCAATAATAAGGAAAAGGCTTCTTTCAGAACTTCACTGACTATTACTGTTCTTGCAGGACGTGCAGCTTTTGTTACCATTAATCATCGCTCCATCTTTTACTACCTAGACAACAAAATGCCACAATTCACTAGCACGACAGTGCATGGCTCGTACCTGTCAGTAATGAGCACCAGCCTCTCCTTCTCATTGTTCCAGTGGTCAATCCTGTGGAGGAACAGAGAGAATTTGGCTACATTTGTAACCCACATAGGTGACCATTCTGCACTGTAATCTTTCCATTGTGACGGCACACATTTCCACAGATCTAAACATATTAGGAATAGTCACAGATTAGCCCTTTGCCCCAGGTCAACATTCACCTTCCTGCTTCTGAACTCTGGGTGCCATTCTCTGACCTGTTCAGCCACAAACAGGAACAGACACCATCTGCTGTTTGCTCCAATTTAAACATTTTACAGTGTCAAGCTATTAAATACTTCTCCTCAGCTCCAACATACATACAGTATATCTAGATGCTCGGAGAAGAATGCCATGTATGGTATTTGTTTTACCTTAATCTCTATAGTATCCTACTCATGGGATTTGAAATATGAAAATCATTTTGCAACAGTAAATTCTCATCTATGATGAAAAATGAATAGAATGTCACCCTTTTTCCTTTCAGCCCCAGTCCAGATTTTAAAAGATCTAATCCTTCAAGAGACATCAAGACACGAAGTCTTAGATAACCCTCTCTTGGTCTACAACAGACTATGCTTAAAATGCATGAGGAGCCATATTAATCATTTAAAGAATACATCAGGCGTAGAGGCAGCTCCCAGGGCAGAAGGGGGCCCCCTGCCTACAGCCAGGTGTTCTCTGCTCTTGACATCACTCACTCTGTGAGAAGCCACACGCTCTGGACCTCCCCGTCTTCTGAGGGCATGGCGACTGTCCTGATGTCATTCACGGCTTGCTCAATTGTCCCCGGCTAACAGAAAACACGCCAAAAGGACATGCGTTAAGCAAGGAGACTACAGGCCTTTCTGCGGTTTTTGTGCAACGCGTTCATCGCAGGAATGTCCAGTCGTGGTCCAGAGAGCTGGTGGGAGTCTGCTGGTTTTCTAGGTCCCTTAAAGGCTCCAGTTCACGGGCGGGGAGCTTTTACATTGGTCACCCGGCATGAGCTGACTGAGCTTGTGGGGGTCTCTCCAACCCTCCTGGGCCAGAATCAGACAGCATTGTCTACTGAGTGCTACTAAAGTACAGTAACTCAATCACAATGGCCAGACCTCAGACAAATGTTGAAAATGTAAGTGTAATCCCTTTAAAACGAAAGGGATTACGAATTTGTTAGCATCTCGAATTCCAGTATTTTTATTCCAAGTACTGCGGTTGTTTGCTACTCTTTTGGCGTAACGGTTTGAAGCCAGATGATCAAAAACCTACGCAGTGAACCAATGTCCATTTTTTGCTTATTTATCCTTACAGAAAACTTCTTGTCCTTGGTTTGCAAAAACATTACGCTCCTTAGAATCGGTGTTAAAGCGCCGATTATGTCCTTTTCTATCCAGATGCCTTCAAGCAAGTCAGTATTGTTGTGCTGCATTTTAAGAGCCGACAGGCATGTTACAAAATCCAATCAATTGAGATCATAAAACAGATTACAAAGGACACCACTCGTTCCATCTTCCCCTTCTGTAGTTAGTGGCTAATTAATCCGAAGAATTCATGCAGGCGTTTCTTGAAAGAAACCAGGGTATCGACTTCGGCAACAAGTATACAAACACAAAAAAACGACTGGCAAAATATCCGTTACTCAGAAAACAAAAACGTTAACGAAGCAGCCATAATTACCTGTTGCTACAAAAGAAATGTGCAAAAAAGTAATGGAATTACTGTAAACCACAACAAAAACGTCGAGATAACGCATAACGTATCTTGCTGCGATATGGTAGGTTTGTTCTTCACTTGTGCATAATTAAAGGCCTGTAGCATGACACTAGCACAAATATTGCGCTGGGAGTATTCAAAATGAAGTGTATAACTGGAGGACATGCATTCAGGTGCCCTATCCAGCTCTGCGTTGCTGACTGCCTTCACTGTTCAGTTACCAGCTCGCACTTGTTTTGTCGTTTTACAGATGGTATTGCTATGGGAAGATCATTTGCTTTTAGGGGTAGTGCGTATCATGTTTGCAAAACCAACGAACAAGGGCAAAAAAAAAAAATCTATCTGCACTTAGAATTGCGCGATGTAACAAAAAAATCTCTCATATCCATCTCCGTCTAACCTTCCGCGGATCGCTCGCACGATCTTGCCAGAGAAACGACAACAACAACAACAACAACAACAACAAAACGGAACTCACCCTGAAGACGAAGTAATCTTTCACTTTGGCTTGCATTGTCGGGTTGTGGACGTGAAAAGGCGTCAGCGACTGCAGCGGGGAACAACACGCCACCGAGGCGGCTGCCCGGCTCATGCCGAGGGAGCCGTGCGGGGACTGGACGCCCGCAGCCCCCGGCGGCGTGAACGCCACCTCCACCCCGTCCTCACTCTCCCCGGTGTGGAGCACAGCGGCTCCGGGGCTCTCGGGCTCCACCGAGTCGTTGAGCTGCAGCATTCTTACCGTTATCGGTTTTACCTCCGGTTGGTTTTTGCAGCGCTGAGCCCCACAATCAGGGGGGGGGGGGAGGGAAACCGAGGAAGACCCAAAGCTCACTGCCTCTTGCACGGACAAAACTCAGCTCTTTGCGTGTTTACAAATACACGCAGAACATCACCACCAACTCCGGTTTTAAAGCCCACCCTGACCCCACCAAGCAGAATCTCTTCCCGTTGTAGACTTCCTCCTTCCTCCCATGGCGCCAGTTTAAAGCAGTACGATCGCTTAATCTTTCCCATCGCCCATTTCACGACTGTAGTGCGATTCAAAGCTCTGCAGGCATTGCGTTACATTTCATCTCAACACTGAATGTTTTTAAATCACGAATCAAGAATTGCTAACGTGGATAAGAATAATGCATTTGTGAAAACCAAACAGGGGACACTAACCCCTTACTTTTGTGGTGGCCGGGGGATTCCAGGTAAAACTCTGGACAAACTGTGTAAAAGAAACAGTTGTGGAGGTATCGCTAATAGTGAAATATTTGCAACACTAATTAAAAAGAAAGCAGTTCATAGTCATAATACGATTCATATTGTCTAGACGCCATCTTATCTGCGCAGAACTGTGTAGCAGGGTTCAGTTGTGTGAGAAACTTTCTGAAAATCCATCATTTAAGAGGTTTTAGACAAGAGGTGTAATTCCCATATACAGTATGTCATTCTGCGTCACGCGTATATCAAATTTATATCTACAGGGACGTGTAAAAGTGATACCCATTTTTAAATATGATTCACAAAGAAAAATACGTCTTTGAAATTTGTGATACATTATGTTATGTATTTTAGAATTTTAGAGTCATTTTATGAATTATTTGCTCGGAGGGAACGCCAGTACAGACTCTGAAATAAAGTAGCATCTGCCACAACTGGGAGGAAAAGCATGGGACAAAATATTGGGAACCTGCAGTATCAGACTCTATTAGATAGTATTAGACTCTGCCGACGGCAGGGAAATCATGGGTGTGATCTGCGTAACATGAGACGCGATACAAACCACCTTTCCAGGCCTGGACAGCTCCTCCCCTCCCATCACAGCGCTTTTAAGAAACTGGTGCAACACCTAAGGTACAGAAATGTGGAATACGAGAAACACCCTGTTTGACGGAGGCCAGTGGATGTACAGTAGCTGCTATTACTTCTGTATGCTGTTACTACGACTGTTCATAAAATTACAGCTTCAACAGGCCTAACCTATTCATTTTAAAAAATGCTACTTTATTTAGAAGTACCAAGCGGTTACTAATATTATTTACCGCAGATAAATAAGTATACTGTAGTAACTTGTTTAATATATATCGCCAAGAGTTACCTTCTTCTTCTTAAAAATAAAAAAAAACAGGATCATTTGAAAAAAAAATCAGGAGATTCGATATAAAAAGCACACAGGTTTTATTGCATATCAATTTCATGTATAAATTCTTCATAGCATTGGAAAGATTACATTTGGTATACATTCCTATTCTACAGAATTAACATCAGAATCAGAGATTTTTTAATGGAATTTCTCTAAAGAAGTACATCTTTAATAATCACAAGCATCAAAATGAACTGCAATTTCAGAAATAGTTTTCTTTAATATTATTCTACAATCTTTTTCCAATTGTCATTACTTCTCCCCTCAAGCATATTGTTTTTATTGAAGAACCTCCTGCCCAGTTTTGTTTTTTAGAAGGCAGTAAAAGACTTGAAGTCTCCAAATGTACAACCTAACCACATGTACAATAAGTGCATCTACGTATTTTTTAAACATTTTTCTTGTACATTTTTCATAAAAATTTCACAAATGGACACCATTATGACCGCTAAACACAAGTCATGCACAGTATTTTTTCTTATAAACATAACAGAGGCGATATACAATTCAGATCCAATTGAAACAAGCACCATCCATTTTAAAACTTTCCCATATATTTTAATGAATTCCAGACATATACAACAATCGTTTTTTTAGAATAATATACAGTTTGAAAGAAACCATATTACTTATGCTTGTACTGTAACAGTGGAAAAAGACCAGCAGCCACATCATGTGATTTCTGCAGTGACCCTTAGTCAACTTTGTAAGAAAGCTGGTAATGTGATTTTTTTTTCATTTCATCTACAAACCCTACGCACGCTTACAACAGTAGTATGCGACATGAAGTTACCTCAGTTTTGCTTCATGGTGACCCATCGTCTTTCTTTGCATATATTAAAAGTAGTAAAAATTCCCATGTTTACCATGTACTTAATTTATGTAATATTTCGTAATGTCTAAATAATACTTTAGAAGCTTCTACTGCCATTTATTGAACCGCGTAATAGTTAATAGTACAACTGAAACAACACAACCCTGCCATCTACTGATGTCATTTTGTATTGCAGTGTGCTAGGAAAAGGAGCGTCGATTGCCGGTCCACAATTCACTGTTTTAAATCATTCAAAAAGCCTAAGTAGTATGTTGAAAATAATTTTGGAATCGCGCTACAGTCGTCACCCTGAAGGTATTTCAGCTCAGATTTTCCAGCAGGGGTGACCTTGGGGTGTTAAAAGACAATTGTAAAGCACGGGGTTTAGCGCTCTAACACATTAACAGCATTCTTTATTCAAGAGTCATACTCTTTGCTTCGCTGGGTATGTCAAGTCAATAATTCGACCCTCAACTCAACCAGGACACGGCACGCTGTTTGATACAGTGTCCTAGGGCATCTTCTACCGACGGTTAAAGTGCTTATTTGAACCAATTAAGCCTCATCCTGAAAGTCCCTGACACAAATAATAACTTCATTCCTAACAGCCAGCTGTCTGCGCAAGGCAGCAACAGAGAGAAATATAAATGGAGCAGGAAAGAAAAAACCCACACCCACTGTCAAAGGTGAGTGCTACCTCTAATAAAATGAAGGTAACGTCGAGCTGAGGGAGGAATCATCTTGAGTGGAGAACGAGGCACGGTCTCGTTTTGCTAATTCCAGCAGCTGATTTGGATAAGTGGTCCCATAACGTCGTCCTCAGGATCGGCAGAGCAACTGCAGCGTTGGACAGGCAAGCACGCAGTGACACCCGGAAAGAAAATATCTCGGAGTGTCCTAAATATTCTTGACGGGCCATCTAGCACTTCCTAAGAATTCCCATTTTGAGTCAAATAACGAGGGGATGAACAGAAAAAGGCGTGACCCATTTTGTTCACGTTCACTGAGCACATGGATTCCCCCGAGAACTGGTAGAAATGCAAGGACGCCCTCTAGGGGTGGTGTTTGGAGGCTGCAAGTTGGAGAATACGACAGCGATGCGGGAGTAAAAAACGTTTTTCCATTTAACCGTCAACAGTTAATGTTCTATCTATAAACATTTTTCTAAAAAAAACAAACAATGAAGTAATAAAACAATCTTTTTCATATTTTACAGACTTAACTTTTTTTTTTCCTGTCACACAATTCACTGGCTGGCTTCACAGTTCACTAAGGGTGCTATGGATGGTAAGTGCACATAGGCTAGATCTATTCATATCTTCACACAGGCAGGCAGACGAACAGAAAGTCATACTGTCTGAGGAGCATGGATACTCCTTGCAACACAAATACAGTACTGCTTCCAAAAGCACTGCAGTCAAAACCAGTCTTCACTTTCATTTAAAACAACACCTGAATTAATCCTGTGTAAGAGCTCTATGTACATGCATTAATTTTGTCCAGAACTACTGTTTTCTACAGTTTTGATTGATGTTCCCGAAGTTTGTGGGCCAAGAATAGTACATATATACAAGCACACATAAAACGGCAATTCCTCTAACCAGTAGGACACTTTTGTCAAGATCAGATGAAAACTGTTAGTTTAAACAGCAAAAGAGAGTAATTTACAGTAAAAAAAAAACCGCACAGGCTATAGTCTTCTGACAAAAACTCTGCTTCAGTTTTTTTTCTTTTTAATCTTTCCCTTATCATCTGATGTTTCCAAAGACAGCAGACTCTCATTCTCTCACGCAGCTCTTGAAAGAACCGTTTCTCGATTCCAGCACACAAAACCACAAGCTTTCACTCACTGAACCAGGAATGGGGTTAAACGTACAGTATGCATCGATCTAATAGGATTTTACACAACCCGCAAAAATGATTGATGGTGATCTTTCAGAACACGGCTGTGAAACTATGAAACGAGAAAAATGAACAAAATGACAAAATATTACCTTCCATTTAATCTATAGTAATAATTCTTTACTCTTTACCTTAGAATATGGCTCAAACATTAAGACTAAACGAGACTCTTAGCACGCAGAAAATATGTCTACTTACAGTATGATACGTAGTGTTGATGTTTGGAATCTGACATACTGAATTTCAAGAGGAACAACAATTGCTTTTTCTAAAGAAAGAGTTTATGTTCTTTCTATGCTTTTCTTTCCAATTTGGCACTCTGGCACTCTACATGACTGCTTGGTCTTGGGGATTTTAATATCGCTCAATTTTAAATCTTTCCTTTCTCCTTCGAAAGAGTCAATCGTAAATGAAAAGGGAGACCTTTTCTAATCAACATTTTACTTCAACAGCCATTAGACCCTCCAACCCCCCCAAAATAAATAGAGTAACACAATAATTAATCGCGTCTACGGGAAGCAAGAAGAGCAAAACAACAACAGCAACACAAACCCTTCGAACAGAAATGATTGTCTGAGAACAAAACATTTTCTATGGGTCGTTTGGCACACACCACTCTTGCTACGCAATATCATACAACAACAGTACACAATTTTGGTCCTTCACTAAATAATTATATTAGAATTTTTTAGCACCATCACGGTGTCTAAGAAACAAAGAAACAATACTGTTTTTACAGAACAAATAATATACAAAGTAAAGAAAAAAAATGTTGAGTTCAATAAAAATTAATTTAAAATTGAACAAGGAACAAAGATCATTTTGTTTTCATTGGCCCCTATGGGAAATAATTTAAAGTCCAAATTAAGTGATTCGTTTTAAAACCAATATTTTTCTTTTTTTTGCAACTCTGCAGACTGTCCTCTTCGAGGAATGCGTGCTCTGCTTGGGAGCGTTTGTTCAATTTAATTGGTATTCCAGCAGTTGCAGCTGCTCCTTGTTTTGTAGTACTTCACCTGTGCAAAGCCCCTCACCTGTTGGTAATACAGCGGCACGAATTACATTCACTGCGGTCAGGCAAGTTCGCCAAGGAATGACGTGAGCTGAGTGTTCACAGAGATAGCCGTGCCGAGATGATGTGCGGTAAACAACGCAGGCTGGTCATTGAATTATCTGTTTCGAGCCTCCCTCGGGAATGCAGGAAGTCATACATCAGAATAGCAATAATTCCATTAAGCTTATGTTGTTGGAATTCCATCACGACTTTTCGATTTGAAATGTAACGTTAAATGGAAGCAATTAATTACTCTTTAGGTCAGGGACTCTAATATTAATGATGATAATGATTGATGATGATTAATCTCTGGAAACAGTGGTTAATGAAGAAATTTGATAGTACTTTATATCTTTTAGCAGGGAATCATCTCCACACCCCACCAAAAACCCTATTAGACAGATACCACTTCTGTTTATTGCTATGACTTTTGCTGTTCACTCTATGACTCTGCAACACATGACAGGGCTTGTTTCCAGTGCAGAGCTCTTTGGATTCAAAACAATGAATCCTGGAGACTGCCGTCTCAAACCTGGGATTGTCTGGGTTAGAGAAGGTGGCTGCTGTAAACTTAGCGACTGTAGATCTAGGCAGCAAAATGGGGGTATTGCTAAAAAATGATTCGATTTCTTATTATTTTGACAGCTGTAGAATTCAAATGTCATTGTGCGCTATGGAGGCTTATGCAGTAGCAGTACAAAACAAGCATCAACTCAACAAATGACCTTGGTCCCCATTGCAGATGAAGACAGAAAGCAGAAGGTTCTTAATCTGATCGAGTTTCTGAAGTACAGCGCTGTGCTTTTTTCTATTGTCCGAGTGTGTGCTAACAGACACCAGAGCTGCTAAATACTGTTTGGACAGTGACTGTACTAAGTGGTGTAATAGTAAGGCAAGCTGAGCTGGGCTGACTGTAGGACATCAAGCCTCTCTGCCTCCACGATGTTCTTACTGGGCGGGTCTCTCTGCCCACTGATCCTCAAGGCTGGAGCCACTGGTCCCTGGGTGCCTCACATCGTCTCTCTCTCACTTTCTCTTGCTGTTGGTCTGATGGAGTTGGTCCCACTGTCCTTGGCATGGCCTGGCTCCTTCTGTCCCTCTCCCTCACGGTCTCTCGCTCTCAGATGTGGTTGAGTGGGTGAAAGCTGCCAGTCTCTGATGTGCCCCCTCCCATGTTCAGCCAAGCATCCAGAGAGTTCTGGGAGGATGTGTGCAAAGGATTGTTTTCAGACAGAGACAGCATCATTGCATAAGCCTGGAAAACACAAACAGAAATGAAACAGTACTGCAATATGGTCATTCTGGATGCTACGAGAACCACACTAGAGCCTAAAGCATTGGGGATCTTTCTGCTGCAAAAAAGGATCATGCACTTGTAAGGATTTGTAGAGGTTTTCTCCTGAAACCCCAAACCGGGAAATAATAAGCATTCAAAATCCTCACAGACACAGAAAAGGTCAATCCATGAAACCTCTTCTGAATAAACAGAGAAACATGAACCAGAGGACACAAGTGAAAACACAGCAGAAGACAATACTGTTGAATTGGATTCCTGGTGTCTTTCAAGAAATGGTTGGATGAGATCTTTGGATGCTACTAACTAGCAGACAAGCTAGATGGACTGAAAAACGTCCGTCCCCTGTTTGTTACAGTTCTCATATTCAGAATTTCAAAAGTAATCATGACTTACTAATCACATTCTGTACACTGATAGATAATAAAGGAAACCTTAACAATGATGCAAAGTTAACATAGGAAATTAGCTAAAGAAGAGTGTAACCTTTGGAATGGGCCAATTTAAAAGCTACGGCTTTGTTGTCATTGTAAGAGTTTCCATTGGTTAAATGAAGTTATTTTGGATAGCATTTGAATATTAACAGTCATAAGGCTGGAAACAAAAAAAACAACATATCAAATGATTTACATGACAGTTAAGGACTTAAAATCAGAAGACTACTATTTCAGTTCTTGGTGAATGCACCAGAAGATTCTTGTGCAGGTTAAGGAAATAAGAGTTAGTAACAGCAGCAGTTTCAAGTTTTGAAATCCATCTCACCCCCTTCCCTTCCACAAAGACAACAGATATCAGGCTGAAAAACATCTTGACAAACAGGAGGTATTTACAGCCAAAGCCTGAACCATTTTTCCTTAATAGGGACTATTGAATTCTATATTCAAGATGACTGATGACTCAGAATAGAATTAGTCCCATTTAGGATATCAAAGACTTCCTTTAAAGATTTCAAAATTCACTGAAAGATTTTTCTGTGACCTTCGTTTCATAAATAAAGTCTACATAAAATGATAAAAGTTAAATAAAAGGCACTACCAGGATTCAAAACCTCACTAAAACTCTTCCTCTTGTAAAATGAATTCAAGTCACACACCTCTTTTATTTTCTATCTTTGGACTGTTTGAAATTAAAACCACGGGTTCAATTTCACAGGTTGCATCATTCTGTGTGATCTGCATGCTTTTGCGAGTTAATGTTTGCTCGGTCCATTAAAGAAATATATACTTTATTAAGATGATGCATGTTTTTTCTGTTAGCAGTTGCAGAGTTGTTCAATATGTGCTATAAATGAAAGATTGCTTCCAGTCACCACAGCCAGTGTGTTTAACCACAATGTGGATACAGGTCTCTGCTTCACTTTATCTTTTGCAATTGAGGACTTCTTTCTCAGTGCAGAGTGGCTGATTACATTTAAACCTCAAAACTCCAACAGATCAAGGTATCAAACTTATTTCAGACTTTACCCTAAAAATATAATCTAGGCCAGTGATTTTCTCTGTTTCTCTGCCAATTGGTATTGTTTAGTAAAAAAGAGCTAAATACATTCTCTTCTGTTTGCTTATGCAATGGTACCTTTTCCTTTGCTTACTGTGTGCAACAGGCAAATAAGGTTTCCCAACATGGTTTTTATATTTCTATTTGTACACCCTGACATGATATTGATATTAGGTCACTGCTTTAGTTAAATCAGTGAGGGACAAGTAATTAAGTATAAAAAGAATGGATCTTTATTTTTCTCTGCAGCTTAAATCTCAAAGACCTATCTGCAAGAAAAACTCATTGGTTCTTAAAACAGAAGAAATTCTAAGACTGGATACCCTTTGTCCTTTTTTGTTTAGGAAATCACATACCTGGGTTTTAGCCTGCCTGTACAGCGTCTCTTTTAATGCCTCAGACTCTAAGGAGGAGTTAAACATGTCTTTAACGTCAAATGGTTCCTCTGCAGCCTTACGGAGGTCCAGCCCCTTGGTGAAGCTCGGAATCTGCTCCAGCTCTAACAGGCCCGCTTCCTCCTCATCAATACACCTGCACCAACGAACGAGGGGTTGGGGAAGGGAGGTGTTCACACCTTGGGTTAGCTCTCCCGCCCCTGACCCAACCAGCCCAGCCAAAACAAGCCGCCCCTCTCTGCATGCGTGGGCAGGGGAGAGAGAGTGGCTGCACCAGCCACCCAGCGCAATACCAGACAGGCAGTGGAGGATGGCAGGGAGTGAGGAGAGAGATGACCCACCACTGGGGAGGATGAGAACACACACTGTCCCATGCACTTTATGCTAGTCGTTTTATTTTGCGTCAAGCTCTGACCCAAGATGACAAGTGATAAAAATAGGATGGGAGACACCACAGGCTAATAGCCTATACCTGAACGATTAAGTGGAGCTTACACATACAGCATCTCAGTGATGTACAGTACAGTAGGTAATGGGGTGGATATGATGCACACTGTCTGCTGCATGCTTAACACAACACCAAAATCAGCAATGTTGAATTGTAAGAGTGTGAGACAGACAAAACCCCTTTGCGTCCTTTATCTACACCATCTTACAATTCAGTCTGGAGCCCACAAATGATGTACACCAAGTCACCACATGGGGAGACATGTTGGAGAAAGCACAGAGTGTGGCTCACCTTCGAGTTTGCTCATAGCTCATGGAGAGAGAAGATGGCTCCTCCTCATCTTCGTAGCTGCCCTGGGGCACGGTGGCCGGGGACACACCCTCGTCCTGCGATTTCTCCGTCAGACTGCCGTCCTCGTCTTCATCATCCCCCTCTCCTTCCTCCTCATCTTCCTCCTCGTCTGCCCCCCGCCTGCGGAGTTTGGAGTTTGGGAGCGCACAGCTCTGTGGATGATCGTCCTCCTGGATCTCTGGCCTGGAGACAGAGCAGTCACAATTCAGGCCCAAGAGCTGACACAGCCTTTAGGGCTGCATTAACACACCCCTAGCACATTTGCAGAGTGACTGAAGATTTTTTGTGCACCAATAAAAATCTGCTCTGCCTTTTCCAAATACAAAGTGATACAATTAACTTAAAAAACAACTCCTGGCACCACTTCTTACAGATCGTTAAGCTAACATTTACATTCAGAGCAAATGTCGATGAGAAAGGTTTAAAAATCATTTGCTTCCAATATTAAAGCAAAATTCGTGTTATTCTTACTAGAGCGGTCTTACACAAGAGCCGTCTGATTAAGACATTTTCCAAATTTGGATGTAACAGTCATTATTTGATATACCCTAATGTGCTGGACAATGTCAAGCAATAATAAACCCATTCAGAAAGTTTTACTGACCCAATTAAGGTAATAAACAAACAGGCTCATGGTTAATGAAAGACATTCTGAAGAGCAAATCCCAGCAGGCTAAATATTCTATTACAAGAAGGTCAGCTTAAATCCATCCAAAGTCCATTTCGTATAGTTCCTTTCTTTAAGAGATGTCATGGGGAAAGTTGCTGCTTTGCAAACAGCCTATCAACACACACAATAATTATTTTTTCAGGGTTTCCAGGCTATGCAGGTTCACAGCTAATGATGTCATTTCCTCGGTCAAATTTACTCATCAAGCAGCTTACCACAGTGAGCACGCAGTGACATTTATCAAATCAGACCTGAGTATGAGAACTGGGGGGAAGAGCCCCTGTTTGTTCTCCACTTTCAATCCAGATTAAGTATCATATAGTCAAATTTTCTGTTTGAAAGAGAAAGAAACTATTTGGATCCAGACAGAGCGCAGTTCTGCAGGGACCTGGGTTTTGTCATCTAGTCTAACACGTCACTGGGGTGTTTGTGTTAGTAGGGGGTTTGATCAATTTATCTTGCAGATAAATGCCCCAATCTAACTCTCCCTGAGGGCCAATCATGCCAGCCTGCCACAGCTCCAGCACTGTCTGTTTCTGTCAGGGCTAGACGGTCTTAAACTGCCGCGATCTGTTACAGGAAGTGCCAGGGTCATTTTTTTTATGTCAGTTTGAAATCGAAATAGCCCCTCTCCTCGTGTGTTTTGCTTCTACAGCCTGTTTCGGATAAAAAAATAAGTCAAAATTGAAGTCCTGTTTCTTTTAAGTTTGTTTCCCTGACACAATCGTTTCAATCAGCCTGACGTGCTTATAAATGCTTCGACGCAAAATGCACCAGAGAGCAAAGGTATGGTCTGTATGAAGACCGCAATACACAGCTGTGTGTCAGTGAGGGAGGTTTCCAAGGAGAGCGCTTTTCAGACAGACAGAAAACAGAGCACTTATTTGAATTACAGATATTAAAATGCCAAGCTCACTTGTCTAAGATGGGATGGACTATTGATCCCAGATGCCTTGGACTAATTTTTCCTCCATAGGGCCTTTCATGTCTTTGAGTAAAAAAAGAAATGATTAGGCGTTTGCGGGCTGGCAATACGGAAGAAGTGACGAAAATAAAGGGAAGACCATTACATGTCACAGAAAGAATTTAAGTGTCTATTTTTCATGCTCATTTGTTAAGACAGCATTTATTTCCTTTGACACATCTATACGCACAAATGAAATTCCCGCGGGCGGCCACATTGGGTTGAACGTTTACAGAAGAGCATCTGTGAATTATACTGGATCTGGGCATATGTTTTTTTTCTGTAATGAATTTTGTTGTGTGTTTTCATAAGCAAGGAAACTGCCCCTGGTGTGAATCTGGCTAAGCTTAAGCATTCGAGACTTCGACAGGGAGCAAATGGAACATTTAGTCATTTCTGCTTCAAAAGTTTGACTCCTTGGGTTCGTGCTGTTATGCTTCACAGCCACCTTAGACTGCATAGTGTCTCAGAACCACCAGGGAGCAACAAGGAAGTCCTGGTTGGCCCAGTGAGCACAGTATGAACATAAGGACTAAGAGGGAAGAAGCAGAAAGCATCTTAATGCTTTTGCTCTTACTATACTAGGTAGCAATTCATAATGACAACCTATTCCCAATTCCCAACCAATCACTATAATACAGTTTCTAAAGAGAGCAGTTACTGCTCGTCTCTACATGAGAAACATGAACCACTTTTCATATTTCAGATGTGAAGAACTACTGGGTGTTCAGCTTGCACATGTTAGCATATGTCACACTGGGACAGAAATGTCTACCTTTTATCTGTTGAACTGGATGCTTGGTTCAGTTCACTGCTGGAAATAAAATTCCGGATTTCAGAAAAATAGGAGTCCTCTTTCTCATCTAAAAGTGCATGATTGTCTGGCTCCGAGTTGGGAGAAGAGATGTTTGTTCCCAGGTTTGACAGAATCCCAGAATGCTGACTCACTGGATGGAAAAAGACAAGGTATTACAAAATTGAGATTAAAAGATTAAAAGAAAATGCAATAAAGAAAAAAAAAATTGAAAGCATACAAAGACTTTCTGACAGCTACTTACAAGCACAAATGAGCTTAATCTGTTTATATTTAAAAGCAACAACAGTTATATTACAAATGCAGGACCAAGAGGGAAAGGCTTATCATTAATCCATACCCTGGCAAACAGTGTCATTTGCTAATCTGATTATGTTTAAGGTGATTATCTTATACAAATTATAACTATTAATTAATGGTTGTCCAGAGACTGGTAGGACAAAGACAGACATTATCTAGTGCTAAAATTCTGACCCTAACTATCAACCAGCCTCTCATCCTGTGTTCATATAACTTCTAGTTTAAAACAAAGTCAAGGTGAGAAATACAGATATAACAGAAAGTCATGGACACATTCTTGTTGTGCGGTGTTAGCACATGGCAAGGAGTACCTGGGATATTCTCATGCTCGTGTTTCTTGAGGTGACGGTCGAGGTTGGTCTGCTGACCAAAGCAGCGATTGCACAGGTGACACTTGAAGGGCTTCTCCTTGTTGTGGATGTTGCGCACGTGTCTCTGTAGGTTGGAGGAGATGCTGAAGGATCGGTCACAGTACTTACATCTGCAGAGGGAGGGAGAGGGAGAGATGCAGTGAGTGCCCCAGCCTTGCTCCATAAACACTAATCAGCGACTGCAGAATGCCCCAGTCTAAACAGAGGAGGCACGTTTCTGTTTGTCTTCTTTTATTTGCGGGACAAATTTGTCATGCCTGTTCTGACAGTCAAAGCCTCAGAGTCATGTGGGGGTGAAATCAGATACAGTACTACCAAACAGTTTTTGAGTACCTCTGGTTGTTTTTGCTTCACTACTGGAAAAATAAATATAGTCTGCGTAAAGACCAGTGAACACCCAAGAGCAATGCTCCAGAATCTGAAAGGCACACTGGATGGTGTTCAATGCTTGGTGCTCCAGCTGGACCTTTGCTACATACTTTGCAAAAAGAAATCAAATCTTTAAATATACAAATGACTTCAAGCAAAGGCCAGTCCAAGAAACATTAACCATTATGGTATCCTCTGCATACTTGGCTTAGAATCAATGATTGTTCATCCATCCACATATCTAACAAAAAGGCTGGGGGAAAGAAAACTATTAAATTTCCATGGAATAAAACGAGATTTAAGTTATTTCAAGCTTATTTAAAGGAAATGGCCTTTTAAGAGTCCTGAAAGTGATAGTAAACTACCACTTCATCATCCTGTACTGAAAACACACTTTAAAACCAACATACCAGTGGAAAATAGATATGAACAAAATTAGAACTGTTGTTATTTTTCAGTGAGCAAGACATTATTGCTGGTTTAGTATGTTTAGTATTATGATCTGGAATTTTGCTAACGTCTGCGAGTAAAATAAACAGGAAAAACAATTGCACCACCTTGTGGTAAAGACACAACGCTGCATTTAAAATGTTATTCTTCTTTTAATGATTTTAATGATTTCACACGCCCAGAAACGACAACGTCAGAAATCTTCTGACACGTGCAATTGGTACTGCAATGTTTTAAAAATGGCTCAGAAATGAACAAGACTTTCTCAAAGTCTTGTCATGTACTGTTGCATGAATCACACTCATTGTTTTCCCAAGTAATGTAAACTACTAAGTGCATTAATTGAGCAAGGCTTTGAGATGCTTCCAAACTGTACACTAAAAATTGATCTAGAGGGTGAAAGAATTGTGTTTTTTTTTGTCTCAGTGTTTGAAATCTGTGTAGGATTCTATGCTCAAAATGCTCAGCATCCAGGTGGAGGGGAGTCCCCATTACCTGTAAAGTGCTTTGAGTGGAGTGTCCAGAAAAGCACTATATGAGTGTAAGCAATTATTAATGATCATTATTATAATTAAGCTGCACAATTAAACGAAGACATTTGAACTGTCTAAACATACTGTAGCATAAGTCACAATCTGTAAGAACATCAAGCTGATCACAAAATGTATGAATGCAAGTGTAAAGGGTGCATAGCATAATATATATAACACCCAAAAAAAGCCCGCTCTCTATGTGACGTTTCTGAGCTGTCTTTTGATCTCATCAATAGAGGGTTCCTAAATAATTAAATCAACTTTACAGCCGATATTTTTATTGGGAAAAAATTCAATTTGCTCCCATCTACGTAGCAAGGGATATACAATACTCAAGGACACAAGGGTAGTAACCCACCTGTGATTTGAACCTACTACCTAAAACCCCAGAGCCCTAACTACTCCTCAACAACCTGCAATATTTCAGACAGTAGTAGAGGGTACTGAGAGACTTTCCGTGGCCGAGCTGGCCCTTAGGGGTATCACAGGGCAACCTAGATTAATCACAAGGACATCAATTTTCCGCGATGATAAATAAACACTCTGGAAGTTGTGTTTAACTCTTTAGACAGTCTCTCTTTGTTAGGAGGTTGTGCTCCTTGGCTGCAGATACACAGCTGCCACCTCCCCCCACTACCCCTTACTCTAAAGCTGGCTTTCAGTGCTAATTGCTTTGGGAAAATCTCTCGTCATCAAGCGCTGGAATCAGAAGCTGGGCCTTTTCATGTTCTTCTACGGAGCTATTTTTTTCCTCACTAATTTCCAGACTTGGTGCATCATGGTTCACCAAGAATGGTCAAACGCCAAAAAGAAGAAGAAAAAGAAAAAAAAATCTAAAATAAATGTATTCCTGCGTCCAAGGGGATTTATAATTACTTCACTGCTGTAAGAGGACTGCCTTTTTTTAATCTTACATGGTTGTATGTGGACCGTTACATTCTGAATGGGGTCTTTCAGTGGTCAACCCACATGGGCCAATTTCTGTGCAATAGGCCCGATACCATCTCCACCACTCAAATCTCCAGCTACAATGAGCCATGAAGGGCTTTTTAAACAAGACTCCCTCTTTCTCTCTGCTGGTCTTGCCTTATTTGCCTGGAAGTAGCAGAGATAATGATTCCTGCTATTTGTTAGGGTAAATTGTTTCTAAATGAGCTAATCAGTAGATTATAATGACTGAGCTGACCAAGCACTGCCTGGCTCCTGTGAGACTTTCACAGCAACGTTCACAGTCCCTTTGGCACTGCCACAGCCAACATAGAAAAACGCAACTCTTTATCAGCTACATTTTCCCTGGTTAAGCCAAAGTTCTGCAAAGAAAGCAAATGACCAATCGGTGTGCATCTGTCCCTATATATCTCTCTGAAATGATGGAACAAACTACTGTACTTCTAATCTTAAATCATAACTTAAATATGGCTTTCTATCCTCTAAAGAAAAAGCAGAGATTAACTCCATGTTGAAAACTGAACAAGAAGAAAATACAGAATGTTTCAGCTGAGAAGCCTCCTTCTTCTAAGGAAAAATTTGATGGCCATAATTTCTCCAAGGTCCAAAAGAGCAATTGATATTTTGGTAGTTTCTGAATACAAACACAAATTAAAGGATTATGATATAGTATTATCTATACTTATCAGAAAACAGCACAAAGTTGCTTTAAGATGCAACCTTCTTAACATTCTCACTTGTTTTCGCAGTGAGAATTTCACAGTTGCCCTTGATTGGTATCTTTCACAAAAAAATTAAAGAAGGCTTCCTGTATTTTGACCAAATTCAAAGACAAAGTCATGAGAGCTGTAAAGTGGGAAGATGACTCTTTCTTGCCATTAGCAGTCAGGTTTGTGACGTGTGAGACAGCTAAAAAGTGTTCCTGATTGGTCACTGGTTCTTCAATGAAATGGACTAGTGGCCTGCCAGCAATAGCGTGACAGGAAAAACACTTTACACTTCCGAAGGGGAGCAAAGTCAAACCCGCGATTCCAGGGGTTAAGGGTCAGAAAAACATGGTCACTCTGGGTTCCGCTCAGGGAAAAAAAAATGTGATCAATGTGGTTTGGGCCTTTAAAAATCACTCCATTCCCTGCATTACATCTTAACTAAAACGGTCTGTCTCACATGGCAGACAGCCATAGATTAGCTGTTTAGCTTCTTAAATTTCTCCTGAATGTCATTTCTGTAAACCGTGAGTTTTCATCCCATTCCTCTCCTATAGAATGGCATGCTACAGCAATTAGACCTAATAGCATTGCTTTGAGATAGTTTGTTTTCATTGGTCATGGGCTGTGTTCAAGACATTCTTTTACCCCATCATAAACACCCCCTCCAGCCTGCAGGAGATGGTCTGATGTGCTCCAGAAAAAGAGCTGAGACTTGGTTGAAATAGATGGTTTCGGGAAATGGTTTTCCTTTTTTTTCCTTTGGGAAGGGGGAGTGCGGATTGCCAAGTCCAAAGCACTGTCAGAAGTTTGGTGACACTGCCCATCCCTGTTAATCAGCCGCCCACACCATTAATCCAGTGCTCCCCATGACATGCTGTACCTTGGAAATCAAAGCTTTCCCCAGCAATTACAGTTACTGTTGTTGGAAAGTGCAGCTGTTTGAGAGCCAAATCAATGATAATTAACTGGTTCTATAAACAGAACATGAAAATCTCCAGGGTGCTATTACAACCCAACATTGTGCAGAAGTTGTTCTTCCACCTCCCAAACATCTGGGCAGACAAAATTAATCTTCCTTTCCTTTCTCTGTCTCCTTGTCTCTGCACAAGGCTCTTGACTTCTCAAAACTGAGAATGTACATAACACACACTTACACAGGACCTACACACAATAGCTTAGGCAGCGGAAGAAAAATATATAAAAAACAATTAGTCATACGATCTTATACTGTTTGTACTCTTTTCACTTGTAATAATAAATTATTGAGTATAAACTATAGAGTAGTTTGATAGTTTGTGCTTTTTTAGTGGCTGAATGGGCTCAGAATGCAACAAACCGAGAACAGGAGGCATTCTTTTACCCAAAGAGTGGTGGAAGGATGGAACAAGATCCCCAGGCATGATACTGAACCCGATACCCTGGTTTCTTTCAAGACATGGCTGGATGAGATCCTTGGATCCATTAACTACTAACTGCCAAACAGGCTAGATGGGCTGAATGGCTTTCTTTTATTTGTATCCTTTGTTTGACAAAAGGGGAGAAAATGCAGATGTCTTACCTGTAAGGCTGCTCTCCTGTGTGTGTTCGTAAGTGCCTCGTGAGATTAGCTGACCTGGGGAAGATCTTCCCACAGTACCTAATGACAATAAGAAAAAAAAATATTCTTATTACATTTTTTTTAAGGTTTCAAAATCTCCAATCAAATATTTTTCTTCCCGCGGCCCGTTGGAAATCACTGTAGATTAGCTGCAAGAACCCTTGCACAGCACGAGATCCAGACAGACATGCATTCACACTTCCTTCATACTGCGATCCCCACAGAACCAACAGCAAAAATCAGGACATGGGAACCCTGATGCAGCTCGTACAAATCACATACATAAAGCTCCAGCTAATGACATAGCCCAGACATGAACTAGTGATCCCAAGACACCAGGACCCACACCGTCCTCCGAACAGACACTTTTACCTTTTGAGCCATTTAGGGCACCACTCATTTATATTATTAATATGAAAAATACCAGACTGTAACACATGCTCAGGAAATGTCAGAGGTAGTGGCTTAACACTGAAATCGGTATTTTCTTTACCATTCTTACAATCATTTTCTATTTCCTTTACAGCCCTCTCCGAGAACTTTTCTTTAGGCGCATTGCAATGTAACACTTAATATGAGCTGACATCTGTAACCAAATACATTAATATACACCAGGTTCAGAGAGGGACAGCAGCCTCTGGAACAGAGCATTGTTCCATGTAGACTAAGAGTTCCCCAGATGACTACCCTGATTCCACAGAAAAGCTTTTAAATGCCGCCTGCTATGGCCATCACGACTCCTGTCCACCAAAACCATTCTGTGCTCTTCCCTTGGTCCTTGTGATCCGTACGACCTGTGCGCTGTATGTGTCTGGGATGGCCGTCACTGTACCTGCAGGTGTAGCGCTCTTTGCCTTTCCTCAAGATGGCGTCAGAGAGCGAGGGCGGCGGCGAACGGAAGTTGAAGAGGTGGTGTGAGGAGTGCTGCAGGGAGCTGGAGGAGTCCAGTTTCAAAGCGCCGAAACTCTCCAGCTTCTCTGTCATGTTCTCGATGGCGGACATCTGGGGCAAGAAAAACAGCCGCTGATCGTGGGGGAAGACACAAGTTGTTGTTTTTTCGCCCCCCCATCACAGCACAGTTTCATCTTTGCTTTCTATGCTGACTGAATCAAATGTTTGACAACAATAGCTCATAAAGCACAAATATCATTACATCTGCAATAAAGGGAAGCTGTGCAAGGTTTTGAAGAGTTTTTTTATTCATTCCATTGAGAAGACCCCCTGTCTTCACTGTCATGATGCACGAGGCCAATGTGAAATTTCCTCATTTGGATGCATGGTTTATTTGAAGAATGCAGCGTACAAACCGCTTCTCTACTCTCACTGCTCTGTCTGTGAAGCCTGCCATTGTATCGCTAGGTATATGGGGATCTAATAAAACCTGCAGTTCTTTTCTGCCTAGCGTTGCTAATCAGTAGGCTAGCCACCGAGACATACTGTACATCTCAATTATCACATAAGGGGCTGGCAATACAGTGACCAATATTCGGGCAATATCAGCAAATCGAAATAAAAAAGACGAAAAATAAAAAAGATGCATTATGTAACATAGTGGCTTGTACAGAAGTAGATGAGGACATTCGGAGAAGACTATTGTGGCCCCCACTGTCTATGGAACACAATAGCGAGGCAGTTAATGTTTCCTGAAAGGGCTGGAATTGCATCATTACCGAGGGGGCGGAAGACAGGAGGAAGCTGTATATCAGAAGGTCGGCTCTGGATTGTGCAGCTTCAAGTCACCTCCCTGACCTATCGCACGTTTACAGCCACTTAACAGGGCCCTGGGGATCTGCCGAGCCAAGACCGTGCTCTCAACCCGTCTGAGAGAGAGACGGCACCACGGTCAACCTGAATGCGCTATTTGAAATGAAGAGGTGACAACACAATGTAGTGAAAGATACCGCTCACTGATATCATATCTCGATTAACCTTGTAACAAAGGATTTGCTGTCTGGTTTGTTTCCAGAAACAGCTTACATCATTCTTTGTTTCTGAGTACGCTGAACCCAACAAATATAGTCTCAGTTGGATTTTAATTGTTTCTTTAATGACCGAAAAGAGAAGCGTTTTTTTAGCATTGTAACATATCCAGTTTCCAACCGGCCTCATTAAGTTTGAAACCGTTTTCATCAGAGTAAACCAGTGTGTAGCTCAAAACACATTTAAGTCTTCCTCCTCTACAAAGTTTTTCTTGTGAATATGGTGTTTTGCAGTGCAATGGGGTAAAAGTGGACGAAACCTGAAATGTAGACCTGCCACAACAACAAGTTAGCTCCTTGAGAGCAGAAATTGGCATTTTTCTAGGCACCACAGTTGCATCCTCAATTCTACTAAACTCCTGCTGATGGATCGTCCAGTGACTTTCTTTAATTAGTATGAGGGGAAACAAAATGTTCCAACAACAATATTTTATTTTATCCCACAGGAAAGACTAAAAATCTTGTCCCTTAGGGCAATCCTGAGAGGCCCAGCCAGATGAGGAACTTGCTCGAAGTGCAGGTCAAGCTCTTTGGCCCAGGTGTTAATAGCTGGACCCTGGGTCAAGCTAGCAGCGGACTGTGACCTGAGTCCCACAAACTGGTAGAGCCGGGATTAGTCAGACAGAGGTCTCTCAGCTTTCCAGCTTGACAGTGATGCCAGTAACTGAAAAACTCTGTAAAGAGTGGGTGTTCAAGGAACACGTTTGTACCTGTCATTTTCTCCTGAGCAGGTACCTTAGTCATAACCAGAAAGCCAACTCTTTAAAAAACAACTGACAATTATAAATGGGGTTTTAAGAAAAGTAACTGGTAATTGCAAATTAAAAAAATATAGACCACCTAAAATTCTTTGTAATGGTGCTGTTAAACTGGAATTAAGTTGGAATTTTAGGACTATGTTAGGCATCACTGCACAGCCAGAAAACCTGCTTCTTTTTCAAAACAGAGAGCTCTGACACACTCTCTCCTGGGCAGCTGCTGTCCCTGTGCCACCCAGCCTGGAGGAGGGCAAACGAGGGATTTCTCACCATTGAGAGAGGGTCAGATTCCCAGAGCAGATAAACCAGTTCCAAACAAGAGCCGCTATTCTACTGGACACAAACACAGGATGTCCCTGATGGACACGCCGGCATTATCTAGCAAGCCAGAGAAGAAAAATGGGGGGAAGTTGGTAACTATATGCTCTACAGGAGCTGCTGGGAGAAACAATGTGAGAACTATGTTTAGCTTTAGAAGTTGTTCCGTGGGATAGCACACACAATTCGAGAGGTTATTATTCCTATTAATTATTATTATTATTATTATTATTATTATTATTATTACTCTGCAGTGGAAGGGGTATGTTTAAAACAGCGACTGGTCTTTGTTACTCTGGATGAGTAACATACTTCTCTTTCAGTGTAGTAATCGGTGAGCCCGTGTCTCACCTTTTAAGAAAACAGACATGGCTGGCTAGCTTTCAAATGCATCTTAAAAATGGTCAAACTCATACAGGACAACAGGACCAATTTCCTTCTTAAAACTAGAACTGGAAAAGAAAACGGACTGTCATTTTTACAGAAGTCTATTCTCTTTTTATAATTTCTATGCAATGTTAATGTCCACGGTCTTAGATCACAGAGCTCATGATGTATATTTTCAATACCAGTGAGTAATGGGTAATAAATACAGTAGGTCATGATGCAGCTAACGAATGATCTGTCTTTTCCCCTGTTCCATTAAGTACTACTGCTAAGAGTGTCATCTCAAGACTGGGATTGGCCTGATGGCTGAGGGGCATGCTGTATTACCTGTGGGTGGAAGAGCAGGGGCGAAGGCCTCAGGTATTTCTCTTTCAGGGCTCCAACGGGGTCAATCAGCTTCCTCTTCTCCACCCTGCTGGACCACAGCACAAAGGGTTACGTACGAAGGTCAAATCGAAAGGCCTCTGCACCTAGCAAAACTTCAGGAGCTGCCTTAGCATTTCAGTCACACATGCCACAGGGTACAGAGCTAAAGCTTCTTGAAAAAAGCCTGTTCGCTTCTTAAAAAAATGCCCAGGTGCCTTCCCAGTCATATTTTCCTATCAGTGAAGAGGACCTGGCAAGAACTGCTGAATTGAACTCATCCCGTTATTAAATTACTTAAATTAGATAAGTGCAGATAAGGTACGGATAAGGCATTTAAGCCTTGTTCTTCTTGGGTTGAAATGGAGGGCTGACTGAGACAATGTGTGTGTGAATACCTGTATATTGGGTCCATGAAGAAGGGAGAGGGTTTGGCGTAGTGCAGGGAGGGCTGCTGCTGGGGCTGGGGCTGCTGATGCAGGGGCTGCTGGTGGTGAGGCAGTTGCTGCTGGTGCAGAGCCTGAGGCTGGGGGAGACCGGCCAGGTCATCTTTACAGACCACCTTGCTGCTGCTCCCATACACGTGGTTTTTGCGCGACTCCAGCACGTTTCCGTTGTGACTGGCCCGGCTGCGGCTGCCAATGCTGAGGTCCAGGGGCTGCTCCTCCCCCGGCAACAGGGGGGTGCTGGAGGGAGGGGCTGGCTTGCTGGGTGGCAGGGGCTGCTTGGTCTCCTTGGGCTTGGTGGTGAGGTCAAAGGGCGACTCGGAGCCCGGGATGCCCATTTTTTGGAGGTGTTCCCTGGGCGATTTGGGCTCTGCTTTGAGGAACATGCCTGGGTTGAGGGCCCGGTCCGTAAAGGGGTACAAGGAATGAGGGAAGTTGGGCAGGAACTGGAAGGGGAACATGGAATGATAAGGAAGGGAGCCCATCTTCTTCTCCTGCAAGCCCATGAATCCTGGGCCAAAATACTTCTCAGCTATGGAGGCAATGGCCTTGATGGAGTCGGTGGCGGCTCCTGAGGCTGGGAGTGCTTGCTCATCCGGGGGAGGGAAGAAGGAATGCTGGGAGGACAGGAAGGGCCTGTCACTGGGGGGGATGTTGCCTGAGCTAGAGATGGAGATGGAGCTGCTGCTGACATCATCCTGCTTGGCTTCGGGAGCCGCCTTCCCCCTGCTCTTGTCACGTTCACTCTCCACGTCGCTGTCCAGGTCGGACCCCGAAACCGTCCCCGTGGTAGTGTCCAGGTCCGTCCCACTGGTGGTGTTGACATCCTCCAGATCGCTCCCGTCCGACATGTCACTGACCTTCACCTTGGACTTGTCCGTGTAGGACGTGTCCAGTTTGCTTTCGGCTTTGTCCTCTAAGCGGTTGTTGTGGCCGCTGCTACTGCTGTTGTTGGGGGAAACCATAGGTAGGGAGGGGTTCTCCAGGGGACTTCTGGGCAGCTTTCCATCCTGGCTGTTGTTTAGGGGGCTCTTGAGCAAGGGGCTAGGGGGTAGCAAAGGGGGCCTAGGGTACAGTGTTGGGGGGAAGAGTCCAGGGAACCCAGGAGGGAGAGTTGGGAAGGCAGGAGGAGCTGGGGAGAAAGGGAAGCCAGTGTGATGTGGCCGGGAGGGGAAGTAATCATTGAACCCTAGGCCAGTGTGGTTGAGGCTGTGGTGGGATTTGGATTTACCCATGATGGGGCTGGAGGTCATGGGCATGCCCGGGCTAAACATGCCCCCTGGGCCATAATGGTTTTTGCCCTCGCAGAAGCGCCGGTGCTTGTTGAGGGAGGAGGTAGTGCTGAACATTTGCCCACAGTCCTTGCACTTGATCTGGGTGCGGCAGTCCGCGTGCATGCGCTTGTGGCGGCAGAGGTTGGAGAACTGGGTGTAGGATTTGTGACACACTTCACCTGGGAGAGCACACATTCCAAAGAGCCCTGGTTAATTCAATTGAAATAGTTATACACTGTCCATCATGGTTTCTGACAAATCTGTGTCTAGAGCAAGTCACCAACTGACCCTAAATTGACACATGGTGAGAGTTAAGTTATTTAAAAAAATATATTTTGTTCCTTAGAGAAAAACAATTGGAAATATATTTTCCTTTTTAATAGAAACACAGCATATAGTTATTTTTCTCACCTTGATTATCCTAACACATCTAGGTGACTTACTATTGGCTTATGTTAACTAGCATAATGAAATCTGTTAAACTAAGTACATCTTCATCGACTCATTAAGAGACAATCCCTGCAATTCCATCATAGAATATATTTTTTCCTAACAGTACAACATTCTCTAATACTGTGACTTAAGTCATCAATCACATCACATTATAAACAAGAAATATACATATATTTATGCATGTATTTAAATATATATATTGTGACACGGTGGGCTGGTGGCTTTTCTCTTTGTCCTCAAATGATAAAGTTTCCATTCACAAGATGCAAGATGAGCTGTCAAATCCATGTGTCATGCAGAGTTTATAAAAGTAATGAGCTCTTTGTGAAAGTATCCACATCCAAAGTCCTCAGTCTGCTTACAACATGAAATAATAAGGCATCTATAGGTTTGTATAGACAAAACAAACGAACAACCTTCAGTGATATATTTTCCAGCCAATTTTAATTGCTTTATCTATTTGACTGGAGGTTGAGGAGCTCCTCGTTTTAAATTTGACAATTGCGCATTAGTTGTCAGTATTTTGTGGATCAATGAGGATCGATAATGAAATTAAAGCTGTTTATAAAAGCTGTTATGAATCATGTTAATCACAGTGCGAATCACATGTCTTTTATGCCTCTGAATACAGAGGTTTAGGGTGGTTTTCAAACGCTCACATTTATATAAAAAATCACTGGCAATCATTAATGCCTTGAAATACATTTATTTTAAGAAGCTAAAGTGAAGAACATATTTTTAAATTGCTGAGAACGTGCTAATTAGCATCTCAGATTGGACAACTGGTGTTTATTACAGTATTTTGTGTGCAGAACCCAGAGATCCTGTAATCACAATGTAAAATGTACAATCACATGACACGGAAGCCTGGCTCTGCATGTCCTTGTGGACTGCTGGGACTTGCAGATTTAGCTGTCCATTTTGTCCTCAACGAACTACGCTTTTCAGTGGTATACTCCTGTATGACCTTGCCCCTTGGTTTGTCACAATAAATATACTCTACATGGTTAGATATATATATATACACACATTTGCATATACTGTAAACCAAGAAAATATCTGAGCAAGAAATATTGGTATATTCTACAGTTACTAAAAATCTCCCAAATAAATGTGCCGCTCAATATATTATTCCAAGAATACAAGTACAGTACAGAAATTCTTGTTCCTCAAAATTAAGCTTCCTCAAAGAAATCCTGTGTTACAGTATATGAATGTATAGATGTATGCATATACACATACAATATAAATAGTGCATTAAAAGCAAAAGCAAAGAAAAAGATCAGAGGCAAAATGGCAACCGTCAGCATCCATCAATGGGGAGCTGCTACAGAGAGACATTTACCTTTATGGTACATGTCAAGTCTGCATGTGCCAGAGCTGTGCTCTGTTAAGAAAAAGGAACTGAGGTCCTCAAAGGAAAATAAATAAAAAAAAAACAGAAAGAGAAAAAAGGCAAAAGCAAAACAAATTGCTCTAGAATTTCATTTAGTGCTCTGACCTATAAAATTACAGCTGTCACTGGCTCGGGATGAAGTTAGACGGGAGGCCTTTGGACACGCGTAATTATATCTGAGGCTTAGACAAGACGGCTCTGACAACTTACAGATGAAGGGTTTGACACTGCTGTGAATGTGCTTGTGCTGCTTGAGCCCAGAGGAGGTGGCGAAGGTCTTGCCACACTCTGGGCAGGTGTGGGCGCGGGCGCCGACATGCTGCGAGCGTATGTGACGCTGCAGATTACTGGGGTCTGTGAAGACCTGCGGGGGGACAGACACAGCAACAGGATGAGGCGGGGAGGCAGACCCCCCTGACGTGCGCTGCGCTGGCTCAAGCAAACTGCTATTCGCTTAGTGCACTCCTGTACTCCCCCTCCCCCCCCCCACCGGTTTTAATAAGCATTTTAGCACTGGAGTGAAGCATCGAAAATAAAAGGAGACAATCCTGCTGTGATTCAACATCTGTTCAACATATACTTCCCACTCCAAGAAAGAGCTTAAATTTAGGAGTAACCCTTTTGACCTAATAAACCTATTTGGTGTTTTAATAAATACAGATTTGTTGATAAAATGGGATTGAAAAGTCTCTCTTACAAGATTTGCAAGTCATTTTGTCCTATTTATTGCAGGATGGTTAGCAGTTTTTACCCCATAGAACTTGGTACTGAAATGACAAAAATCCCCCAGTAGTTTGTCTATGGTTACCTGAATCAAGAAATTAATCTGTAGAAACACGTGTTTTACAACAGCACAAAGTTACGCTAACCAAAACCAGCTTTCCACTGATTCCTCATGTCTCACCTTATCACAGTTTTCACACTCAAATCGCTTGCCACTGTCATGTGACATCTGGTGGCGAATGAGGTTGGATTTCCAGTTGAAGGCTTTGGGGCACTGGTCACATTTGTACTCACGCTCCTCTGTGTGTACAATCATGTGCTGCTCGAGGCTGCAAAGAGCAAAACCACCCATTCAGGTTAGTATAGCTGCAATCCCTACCCCTACCGTTCACTTCAAATGCCTGATCCACTGCATACAACAAAGGTACAGTAATCCAGTAAAGGATCTCTCAGCACTGAAAGATGAAACCCGAAACGTTCCTTACAAGTTTAGGTTGTTAATTATGGTGTGGAAATGCTAGTTTTACTTATTGTACACACTAAATGTACAGTATTCTGTAATTCACATATATGTACATTATGTGGAAACATTTCTACAATGTCAGTATGCCTTTTATAACCATATAAGACAGGCTTTTCACTTTTCACACATTTATGAATTCCTTTAAAACAGTTTTGAGAAACCAAATTATGCTTAATTGCTGTATAGTTCAGCAGCCCATGGGGAGATAGTGCTCACCATGAAAAAATTGTTCTATAAAGCTAAAAATGATTGATCACAAAAGTCTTGCCTCTGGACATCTTGTTCAGCTTATTATTAAGTTCAGGCCAGTGGTTAATATGTGTAAGAAACTAAAACGGCTCTAGAGTCCCATGCAGTGTTTAAGAGCTCGAATATCAGGCCAGGGGAGAAGCCACCTGTATTCGCTGGGGAAGATCTTCTCACAGTCCTTGCACTCGTGGATGGGCTCCTCGTTCTCCTCCCCCTCCTGTTTGAAGTCATCGTTCAGGGTGTCAAAGATGGAGTTGGCGTTGCTGCAGGAGTACTTCTGGTGCCGCCGCAGGTCCAGCTTGGACGGGAAGAGCTCCTCGCAGTCCTCGCAGCGGTACATCTGCTCATCTGGCACACACCGAAAACAAACCACCCATCAGGGCCCCAAAAGTCAGATCCCATGCTGGCCTGGTGCCGTTACCGAGCTTTTCCCCAGGAAAACTCCTACGTGAACGTCAGGCCCTTATTACTGTATTGTACAGGGTGTTTATAAAAGTGCAAGGTTGGATAACAATGCACAATGGTGCAAAGATGGTTGACATACATACAAAGGGAACTATGGGAGAAGTTGTCCCTATGGGCAAACATCATCTACTGTATGTTCTTGGTAACCCACACTCCCGGAAGGTTCTGTTCAGGATACCAATTGTATGAAGATCACTGCTCCAGTTAAGGTACAGTATTTAAGGTATTTAAGGTAAGGTAAATAAGGTACGGTTTTTATAATACAGTTGTTAAAAAAGGACAACTAACCTTAAAAAACCCTGTATCATTAACTGCAATTTAAGATTAAGATTAGACTAAGTACACATACAAACACAGATTACATTCCTCGATGGAAAATCATACAAAATGTATTCCTTCAGTACAGCAGACAGCTGCTGTGAACAATTAATATCTGATGTGCACCCACATAAAGATGAAAAAATGTAATGTGGAATAATATACCACCTTTAAAAAACAGGAAGACACAAATACAAGTAACATTAAGGAAAGATTCCTAATTTGATGATATTGTTTCTAGTTTTGAGAATTCAAAATATTTTATTACATTAGAATTGTTATATTTTGCTATCGTATCCTTTCATCAGCATTGTCTGGTACATAGTTACTCATAGAAAACAACCAAAGAAAGACAATATTTAACATTTAGATGAATATACATAAAGAGAAAAAAATCATTAAATTAACATGTTTGCTTGCAAACAGTCAAGCACCTTCAGGGAAACCACATGAAACACTTCTCATGCAAGTGCATTTAGTGAATAATTAAAATAATCAATGAATTAATATAAATGCATCCCTCCATCTCAAGTTTCAAATACCCAATTAAAGTCATGTTACGAACATTTTAAACAACACTTAAAGCTTAACGTCTACATAATAAAACAAACAAATCAATTAAAAGTAATACATTGCTTTAGCTTATGCCTTAATTAGCAATGCTGCAATTATACTACAGTATATTCCAAAAGTGTTGCAGTTTGTATTTAGCAAGTGAATGAAAATATGACTTTTTTTTTGTACAAGCAGAAAATAGGGAAGAATCCTCTGATATACATCATAAATTCTTGCAGTTGAGGTCAAATGAATTAAAATTAGGGCAGCTATTATATGGTTTACAAGGCAGCATCCTGACAAAAGCGCCAAGTTCAACAGTCCTTGTGGAGCTGTAAATTTTCCAGAAGAATGACTTCTCTGAAGGACTGGGCAAGCAGGCTGCCTCCCCCACTAACCTTCGACCGACAGAAGCGCTGCCGACTGCAAGCCTGAAACTCACCCTGCGTGAGCCTAGTGCCCTGTGTCCTCTCTGCCTAGCAGTCTGCGCCAGTTTGAGTTCAGGTAAAGTCGTGAAATAAAGCTTTAAGCATGCAATGGTTGGTAATGCTTAATTAACACTTCAAATATGGTATAGAACAATTTTATTATATATGTCCCTGTACTTCAAAAACCATTTCTTTATTCTAAGATCCCTTTCAATACCTATGTATTATGTGTTTTTGTATTTGTGCAAAAATAAACTTTATAAAAATGCACATTCTTAGAGTTTTATGAGCTACATAGAGTGTTATGTCCCACCTTGTGCTTTGTAGGATAGTCTCAGGGCTGTTGTGACCCTTAACACAAATAAGAAGCTTTCTGGTAATGGATGAACGCTTGGATAAAGAATGACACAAAAATCAACCACTGGCAATCCAGTACAGGCTTTATAACCCTCTACTCACAATGTAAAGAAAATACAGATTTCTTAATATAGGTTTGTAGGGAAACTATTTTAAAATACAAGGAATTAATTCTCGCAAACAACAGACCTAGTAATTGGAATCCCTTTGACTGCTTAATCTACAAAGAGTGTGGATTGTAAAATTAGATTGCTTTAAAGAATATGTTTTTATAAAGTACATTTTTTAGCAGGGAAAGAGAACTAAGAATTTCTCAGGATGCCTCGAACAGCCCAGCGCAAGACTCTTACAATAATGTTAAACTCTAATGGTACTAACACTTGTTAATGAGAGGCAAATAGAAATGTCTCAAAACATCAGACACTCCTTGATTGGGACCAGCAACAACACCAAGATGACACAAACTGAGGAAGTTCTTTTGTCTTAGTAGGAGCGCAGCGTTTTCTAAAGACTCAGTTATGTCCTGCTTGCTTCTTCTTCAACTAGGATGTTAGCAGTTGTCAAGCTTCCGCTACAAAAAATAAATTATTTTTTACTGGATATTTAAAAATACTACAATGTAACAATATACAGTAAAGGGAAAATAACAAATGAAAAAAAAGACTGCAGTGAGATATCAGCTGTTCCATCAGTAACACTAAGGACAAAGGAGGAATGCTACAGAAAAAATAATCGCAGACTAATAGCTTTTTCAGAGAAACAAGGGGAACACAATTATGTGCCGTTTAGTGACTAATCTACAAGCCCTACTGGAGTCTCAGGAGACTCCTTGAGTCCGCTCCGAATTCCAGCTCCGATAAATGAGGGGGGTGGACTGCCCTTCACTCTCCCACTTTTGGCAGCGAGATCAGAAGATACCTATCTTCCTGAACAAACATTTTGTATGCGTTAGAAAATGTCTGTGCCTCACGAACCCCTTGTGCTGTCTCGACTATTTTTATTGCCCGTGACAAGCAAAATGTAACCATTATTTTCCCCCTTAAATCAAGGGAAACACAACAAAACATTATACCTGACAACCCAACTTTGTTGAATGCTGGCCAGAGAATTAGGGGACCATAGGGGATCATGTCTAGGTTTCGTAGAAGAAACCTGAGGGTAGATTTCACATTGTAGTGTGTGGGTAATCACCTTTTTTGTAGTGCACATAGTTGTCTCAATCTTTGATTTTACAATAGGACAGAACTGTTTCATCGTGCACACGAGCCATCATCATTTTATGTTTCTGTACCTGGATATTTTCTTTCAAAGCTGAAGGGGTTTTATTAATCCACCCATCTGAGTGGCAACAGGCCTTTTAATTATTTGCCAGATTAACAAATATGAAATAATGCTCCCTGGGTTTTTACAGTAAAACAATGATGCAACGATGCTTTTGATTTTTGAAATGTAACAATACAAACACTCACTGTACTTAAAGTTTTTTAAATGAAAGCAAATTGGTATGTTCTATGGACACAGGCTAGGCAACATAATGGATAACTGTGATAACAGAAGTTAAACTTGCAGCCAAAAATAATTTCCATGATTAAAGAGATAAACAGTAGACAGAGTAGAAGACACAAACTCACCCATCCTAAATTTAAAACTAACTAAAGGCCTAGTAAGAAGGTTTTAATTTTTGCGTTAATTAAATATGATACAAATACTACTCAAAAACAGCTGTTTTAAATTAAATATTTCAATACTGTTTAGCTCCATGAGGCAAAAATAAAAGGCAGGTGTGGCTCAGTGATGATTATACTATTGGTATTAATTTAGCAACATATTCATATCTTGCTTGCAGCAACTGTGCATTGGAACAGGCAAGATGCAGTACATAATGTGAAAGCAACATGATAAATTATTAACTTCGAGCTTCAGTTTGATAGACAGGTATCAACCATCAATTAACTCATTAATATTCCACAAATATCATAAAGGTCTTGTTACATATGCACTTAAGTCATAGATTTTCTTGTTAGTATCTTAAACAATAGCTAGCAGCAAATCTTAAAACGCATTCACTCACAGTATGTATTTTGTACTCTGTTTAAAGTTAACGTAAGTATTAAAGATTTATATAATGTGATGCATTTTTTCAGAATGATAGCAATTGAATTCTAACACATTACACATTTGGGCTCAACGTCTCCACTTGCCAGTTCACGGCTGTTCACAGAACCAGGAGGGTTTATGGTCCAAAAATTAAAACAAATTCAACTTCAAAATCTCCGGGTGCTTGATTCTGAGGATCAGCCCCACGAGAAAACAGTCAAACCTTGCAAGTTTTTAACTAGCAGGAATACGTAAATATTTTTGCGAGGCGGGTAGTAGCTGATGCATGTTATACAACAATTGGTACTGTACGCTCACACGTTTAAAATACAGTACCGAAAGGGATAAACGATTTAACTGGCCTTTCCGACATAGTTAAGCCTTGTAAAACCTTATATCTTTAGTTAGTAAGCACGCCGGTTCAACAGTTTTATAACACTGTGACAGAGATGCCTTTTGTTTCATTAGGGGTTCATTATAAACGCACATCCTGTAAACAGGTTCCACATGGGCAAATATCAAACGCTGCGCGGCTTAGAAAAGTCTCAGATGAGCAAGAGAATCGCTAATAATTCAGGCGGTCGTGATATACCGTAGTGATTTTGTTCTGCACATCTTTAATACAAAGCAAACGTGCAGGTGTTTGCGTCGCTCTCCTCTAAGCCGCAAATGCACGTGATTTCACCCACATTTACGTTCATAAAAACGTTTTTATCTCCACCATGTAACAATCATAATCTATCACGTTAAAGGCACGTCCATACGTTTTATTGTCCACGTATTAACAAGTTACCAGAATCCGGAGGGAATCGTTCTCGGCTTGAAACGCAATTCGAAACAGAATTTGTCTTTACTTAAAATCATTTCTACTTCAGCTGTTGAGAAACACCTTTTTATGCCCTTTTCACTGTGGCTTCAAAGGTACATTCTGTTGTTTTAATAATACCCCCCGATGCATGTTTGTTGACCAAGTACTTAATATAAATAATTGGTGATTACACTAACTTAATACTGCTATAACGTCGCCTGACACGAAAGAAGACCATGACAAGACATAATAGTCCCTCACTAGTAATGAACATAACTGTACAGTTTTTGGAGGAGGAGAAGTGAGTTACTGTTGACTGGGTGTCCCGGGAAAACACTGTCCACAGCGAGCTAATGGAGTTGACACGGGCGGGATACTGTACACCGGCGCTGTAAACGTTGGCTTCGGTTTGTTTAAAATGTTCGGTAATGATGTACATTAATTTACCTTCCAGGTTGGGAGCCATCGATCCCTCAGGGAAAGCTCCGTCCTTCATATAAATCAGGAGCTCCTCCCCCGCTTCAATTTCCTTAATAGCCTTATAATAAATCTGGAAGAGAAAAGAGTGAGAAACGTTTACCTTTACAAAAAAAAAGTATGTTGGGCTCCCATAAATGCGATCATTTACTCTCTCAGTTACATCGTATTTCTGTACAGTTCAACAGTTTGCAAATAAACAATTCAGACGTGACAAACATACTATAAATGCTATATTATTCAGATTATAAAGGATGAATAAACGAGAGCAGTAAACAGACGTTGGAGTGTAAAGTGCATATATACTGTAATAAAAAGATTAGTTAGTGTGGTTCATGCTTTATTTCTAGTTTTGATAAACATTTGCTGTGTATCAAACATGTATGCTTTCGACTAAGGATGATATAAATATTATTTTGAATTGTATTTGTATTTTAAATTAAATACAAAAATAATAATGCGGCATGAAATTTATTCAGCTCCTGTTATGAAAATAGCTGATTGAAAAAAAAATATCGATCAGTAAGATGAATTTCAATTTTAAAAACAATTTTGTACAGCTTTATGTTCTGCATCTGAAATAATTATACGGGCTTATCACAAATTCACAGTTTTAGAAGATGAAATTCTTTAAACGAAATGGTTGTTTTCCAGTCCACAGTTCTCCCAAACGGTTTGTCCTGTGTTAAAAGTGTAATAAATGACCAACTATTAATTTGTTTTCGTTTTATTTTACCTTGAAACTACAAGTACATAAAATAATAAAAGTACAGAAAAATTCCAGTACTCAAAATATTGAGAGACTAATTACATTTATAATGTAAATTAAACAAAGAGAAAAAAAATTGTGGAAGGTTTAAATATAATTCATCTTTATTTATATATTTATCCTAACATTTCCTATATCCAAATCTGCTTAATTATAAGAAAATATTACTTATCTAACATTTACGATGATGTTTTTCTTGTTCTTTAAATCAAATGACCACTAAACACGATCTATTTAATTTAGCTGTTGAGAGGTCACTCTAGCCTAAGGAAAAGCAATCCGTTTCACTGGGATTTTTGGTAAATCTTAAGACCTGAAATAGCACAGACTGGAACTCTAAAATGCGAAGAAATTGAAAAGCAAGTCTGATCTTATAAATCTTCAAAGACTAAAACCCTAACAATTCAGCTCATTCGATTTAAGCCGATATTTGATCTAAAGACTTTTTAGAACAAAGTGTATCATAGTCTAAAAGATCATTGATAACAAATGTCGATAGAGAACATCCTCATTCTAGAAAATAAACCTAAAAACAAGGGACGTTTTAATGCTGGCACTTCGTAGTTCAGTCAGATCTGGAGATAAACCACAATTTATAGGAAGTATTTCCAGACTAGGGAAGCAAAAGCGAGATAAACTAGCACTTTCAGCACGGATTGCTTAAAACAAACATTTAAAAATCTAAGTATCTGCATTCAAAACACGACTTATTATGAAACGCAGAATCGTATTAAAAAACGAAATATCAGGTTCTTTCTATCCTACTGTACAAAACCAGCCATCACTACGAGTCGATTCAGTGCTACGTTCACGCACATGGGGGCGCTCCCAGCCAAGTTACAAACGTACAGTTGTTGACGCTTGGGACTCGCCAAAATCTTTAACATTTGAAAGAAGAATGAAAAAAAAAAAGACAAACTTCACCAACACTTCGCAGTGGCCATGAAATGTGTCTGTCAAACAGCAACACAAATCACTACATCAAGAAGTGCCCACGACAATTTGTTCTAACAGCGACAACACATCAACATCCACTAATAATAATAATAATAATAATAATAATAATAATAATAATAATAATAATAATAATAATAACGGTTTCACATATTAATATATTTGTTTCAATTGCTCTTTTCCCTCTGACCTTTTTGCTTTCCGATTGGTGGTAGAGTTGGGAAAGTTGTGCGGCTGATCTTAAGGTTTCCAGTTGGAATAACAGTTCTGTCCCGGTGGAGTTCGCAACACAACCCATATTACCATTACTGGAGAGACCTGGCTCAAGGCAAGGCCCCGCGCCGGAGCTGAGCAGAGACGAGGAGGCAGGCAGACGAGAAGTGTCCTCGTTGAGACTGAACCCTCAACTCTCTTAGTCTAGTCTGTCTGAGAAGCGTCTTTAATGAGGTGAGCTCTCTTCTCATTAGTGATTCCCTATTGCCCCTCACAGCCCGGAGAGTTAACCGACAGCCACTCCTCCCCTTTTCTTATCTAAAACGGGAGGATTGACTGATCAACACCAGAGACCCCTCCCCACGTCGTCTATCCGCTCTGACCACAAGATTAATCTGTTACCGCTGAAAAATACGTCTTGCTTTATAAAATATGTTTTTTTTTACAGGTAAACATGCTATACAATGCACAACCTCCCGACACCACAATTGTTTTTATTGCGCCCCTAAGATCTCATTTAACGCAAAATCTTGCTTTCGTCTGATGTGCTGTAGTTCACATTGCCAGTCTACAGCCTTACACCTGTTTCATTTCTCGCCTTATCCTCCGGACAGTCTGCGGGCACTGAGTTCAACACATCGTTTTATTTATTTTTGACAACTGCACGATAACGTTTGCGCCCGTTCAAAAGCCTGTACTAGTTTCTCACAAGTCACTTTACGAAAAATAGATCAATTCTATTTGTCATCTACTTCATAAATAAAATTCTGAAATTAATCCACACTTTTCATTTTACCTGACTATATATATGATTAAATAACCCAGCCATTAGGTATTTGGAAAAATACAAAAACGTCCTGTGGAATACAGTATATAGTGTATATATATATAAAGCCCGAAAAACGTATAAAATGTGTTTGTATAAAATTACATATTACAAAGTATCACCTAGGTATAGATTTAAAATGATATTTATTGAATAATAATCGAAAAATTTAAAATGAAAAATCTAAGGTTTATAAGTAGTTTAAAATGGTCTAAGAATTTCTAAAAGAATAAACTTTCAACAGTATTGCACCAATTAAAGATATATCAGCTCATAAAAATATTTTGCTGAACAATAGATTCACTTCTTATATTCCTGCTTAAAGATACAGATCTTGTATTAAATCACCATGTAATCCCCATCTTTTCCCCTTTATAAAATTTCACAAAACAAGAGCCACAGTACAGTACATTAATTGTGCTGATTTCAAATCTAGAAGTGGCAATGCTATATCTATTAAAATTCAACAGTTATCCTGATCATCTGACTTGGGTTTCTTTCAAAGATTCAGACTCATTTCCTGACATCTGAAAAGCACAAGCCTATCCCTTTGTATTTGTGCTATTTGTCAATTTGTTTAACCCAAATTTGTATATGGTTGTTTTTATGAATGAAAGTGAAACAAAACTGAGGCAAAATGTTCAGACTGAACTATCTGGCAGTTTGAAAACAAGCTTCAGTGTAATGGTTGTTACTGTACATGTTTGTTTTATTTCAGTTTTGTGAATCTCTCTGCATTATAAGATGGGGAAAATCAAATGTAGATAAAAACTTTAACTTTTGCAACTCAGTTTGAGTTTATGTCCTGTTCAGAGCTCAGATTCATTATATTGCACCTGCTAATTAATTCATTAATCACAAACTTACAACTGATAACTGAGTTGAAGTGCAGTCAAAATGGACATTTTAATAGGTTTGGTTAAGATTTGTTTGTGTATTACACCTACAGTAAATCTTAAATGCTTTGACAGAAGTAAAAAAAAATGCCGCCTCTTCATAGTGAAGTGTTTTTTTAAGCATCCAAGGTGATATCCTGTATCATCTGTCAATGCCAAAATACAGTATAATCACAATCCCAACATAGGAAACATATATGTGTTTCCTCACTCTGCTCCTGTTTATCTTTGAATTGGTGAGCTAAAACAGAGAGAAAGATTAGACGAGACCCCAACTGTCTAGTTGTCCAGTAGTGATACAGAGCACAACTGCAAAATGGACCAGTGTACCAGCAGGTATGGGTTTAATCATCTCAGCATTTCACCCTTAAATATTGTAATATTTTAACACTAGAGTCATTTAACTGAGACACACTTGATATTAACTTCTTAAAATACTTGCTGTAAGGATTTTTGTTCACTTTACAAGCTGAACAAGTCTAATTAGACTTCATGCACAGTTTTGGGATTCTAGAGAAAGATGCTCAGTCCCTAACAAACAGGACCTCTTTATTACTGCACCACACAGGAAGAGACTGGGGGTGGTTAATCCCCAGTGCGGCCTACAGAGTGTAAACACGGCCTGCCTCTGCACACATGGTCCAACACGCGTTATCACACTCTCATACACACTATCTGTTTCCACACTCCTACTTGCTTTCATTTTATCTGAACTCCGCAAGGTGTGCCACTGGTTTCAAGCAGTGTTCACAGTTGGGTCTGTGTGTGTTAATAGACATAATCGCGGGCCCTGAAGAACTGGAAATTCAAGACTTTCTGTTGGGAACTGCTTTTTTGAAACTCCTCACATGAGGCTGCTGCAATGTCAGCGCTTGCAAGTGGCTGTAGGTATACAGTATCTGCTGCCGACAGGCCACGGATTGTGTGAGGATGTGGCGTGACATGATGTACATTTCTCTTGTAATGACAAACAGCTTAAGTGCATCTTGAGAAATTAAGGCTGTGGGGTTCAGAGGTTAATGGGGTTTCTAAACAGAGTGCCTATTGAAAAGGCCTTGAGAGGTCCCTGTTCCTATCAGTATTGTCCAAGGGACTGCTGCTTCATCCTGTTTAGGGACTGTTTGTACAAAAATGGCACTTCTTGCAAGCTAGCATTGTCATATCGCTTTCTAGAACACAATTCTTCATGCAGACATGCTCGCGTTTCCTATGCATTTATATTTTTAAACAAATTGCTAATAGAACACATAATAGATTTCACTGTGAAATACGCTGGATACATTTATATTAAGTAATGTATTCACCTGATTACTTAAATACCCTACAATTACTATTTTAGAAATTTTAGCTTCATCCATTAACTGCTGGTAACGTTTTTAGTTAGAGCAGTTTCAAATTATGGAACCCAACAGATCAAAATGCAAATCACCATTAAACCATTTTTTGTTATAAATGCACTTTTATTTTAAATACACCAGAATGGTGCCTCCTTTAAAATCATATTGGTTTATGTGCCATCAAAAATACATGTTTGAAGCAGAAAGTGGCCGACCCTTGAATTTCTACTTTCTATTTTGTGTATGCCTGCATCCATGCATAAACAAAGTGCACTTGTGCAGCTGGTGAAGTACAAAAAGTGATAAATTATGTATTTTTATGAACTGCACTCAGTTTTTAAATAAAAAATAAGGTGTGGCTCAGAAAATGACACACTGCTCTATTGCAAAAATAAATAGCGATTAAAGATTGAGTACCCTACACACACAAGAGTTTTCTGTTTTGTGAAATATACATGAAAGTTTGAATAAAAGCAAAATCTACCGACTGTGTGTTGCATTCTTTTGGAAAATATAAACATTGCAAGTTTAACCTCTTGTATTGAATTATATCTGACAGGGCTTGTACATGGTGTGCAGAGAGCCTATCACATCGGAGATGAGGTGTGTAGTAACTGTAGACAATAAGGCATGCTATCCACCAAACTTAAAGTGATTTATTGTGCCTGTTCTGCCAGGAGCATAACTCCAGTTCTGGAGCACCAGAGGTTTTCTGGTTTTCCTTTCATCTCAGCGCTCAATTACCTAATTGGGCTCATTATTTGCTTAACTGGACAAGTTGAAGTACTGTTCTGTTAAGAAGCCCTTGAGACCCAGAGTTGGGCTTTATTGCTATACGCGCGGAGGGGATTTCAGACTGTGCTGGCTTCAGGCAGGACACCACAGCGAAGCCCTCAAACAGGACCACGACATGAGGATGAGATCCGAAGCTGATCACCGGGATCGTTGAGCTTTCCCCCTGTCTGTTGATAGGTTAATGGATTAAGGGCTTTGCTTCAGAAACCCTGACTAACAAACACAAGTACAATGAACAAACAAAAAGCACAAAGATAATAGCAGGCAGTGCCTTTGAAATCCTCTACACAAAGAAAGGAGGAAACAACCCTGGAGCCAATCAAGTGTCTGGGCCTCTTGATCATGATCGCTCCTGACCAGAATCTTTTCAAGCTTTGGCGTTTATGTTTTTTACAGGCCATTGCTCTGAAGAGAATCACTCGTAACAACAAGGCATAGAATAAAACTTGGTGATCATTTTTTGTTATTGTCCTATGCCAAGCAAAGGCAATATGGCAATCATTGCATTATATATTCAGACATGGTAGGATCAAAACCAAAGAGGATCAAACATTAAAGAGGAAGCTGTCATAGAATTGTTGCAAAAGCATTGCACGCCACATTCAAAGAAGAATTCTACAGTGTGCTGTGAGATCAGTACCAAACCGAATATTCACTTTTAGTGAGGTAACGGTAGGGAAATCACATAGATCAGTAGTGTCATTCCAGAAGCCCTTTCAGGTTTCGATAGAGGGAAATGCTTGATCAGCTATTAATCAAAAGTTCCCCCTCAGCTTTATGAGATCTACATATTTCTCTCATTTTTGACTGTGTTTCCTAGATTGAAAGCCGAAACAAAGAGAAAAACCCTTTCTAGAACTGCCATTTAAAGTGTTCCAGAGTATTTATCTGTGATTAAGTCTAACTTTCAAATACTTTTTTTCTAATATTCAACAAACAGGACATCCAGAGAAGAGGCCAAAACTTCAAGATAAGTCACAGCTATTCTTTAATTTGTTTCTTTTCTGATTCACTTCCTCTGCAGAGTGCAGAAAGCAACAACTCCTGGAAGTACAATAGGACTTTTCTGTTCTCGACAGAAGGGGTGGGGGCAGTATTTGATCAAACTGCTTGGATTTCTATTGAAATAAAAGCGCTGTACCCTTATTGTGCCTTAAATGCAAGTTTTGTCTGAGGATGAGATGTAGAAAGTCTGATACACTATTTGAGTACAGCTCTTATCTTATGGGTCCTTGCCCTTTTGAAATCATCAGAATATTCACAAATTAGAAGAGGCCAATCAGCCAAACTAGCTTTTTGGGGAGTTAGTAGTTACTTGATCCAAGGATCTCATCCAGTTGTTTTGTGAAGGAAGCCAGAGTATCATATGGCTAGGCAGCTTGTTCCATACTCCCACAACCCTTTGTGTTGAGGTACTGATGCCGGTCCTGACTGAATGATCTCATCTAGCAGTTTCACAAAGGAAGGCAAAGTCTTGGCTCCAACCCAGCTTCAATCACATGCTGCGGAACTTGTTCCTCATTCTCCCCACTGTGTGGAACTGTACCCTAAGACCCAATGAAAGTTCAGCACCTGAGCTCCAAAATGCCAGAAGTAAAATCCACCGCTCACCTGATCCCCGTTGAAGTGGCACACTGTTAGGTTCTGCTCTTCCAGTGTAGGTGCGACCCGGACGTATTTTAGCCAACTTCCGTTACTGGCATCCATGCAGAATTTCACATTTCCCAAGTCATCCCCAATCTAAGGGGAAACAAAAGAAATGACATGAGATCTAGCCTTATGGATCAGTTCACATGTGTGCTCATTCAGAACTGGTCTTATTCTAATCAAATGCAACTGTAAGAGTTTAAACACTTTTCTAATAATAATAATGCATATAGTGTTTGTATAATAAGAAGGTTATTATGATATACAGAGAATTATGCAAAGAATTCAACCATGTTCTGAAAAGTTGCACTTGTAGTACAAAACAATTCCATTCCTATCCATTTAAAACAAGTTTTAAAAATTATGTTATGAATGCACGCGGATGATTTGTCATATGTACAATTTCAGGAATTTAAAGAAAATGATGATTCCTCTACATGCAGTACTGTGATGTGTGTTAAGCAGATAGGTGTTGTGCATGGGTGTTCCATTCCACTTTCAATCTGTGTGAACCTTTACAACTTTCCTATAAGCCAAGAGCCATGATTCACCTCTAAACCTGAAACCTCTCAAATCAAATCCCTGTCGAAGAGAGATCTTGCATACTTTCTTCACTCCCAACCGAAGAGTTCATCACTGTGTACAGTACTTGAAATTCTGAATAAGACTAGATGTGGGCAGTTGGTATGAATTGTATCAGATACTTTGGGGAAAAGAAAAAAATAACAAAGCCAGTGAATTGCAGAGTGGTTGAAGTTTTGAGTGCTGTTTGGAGAAAGGTTAGGAATGAGAGGAGACCACTTGACCCATCTAGCTATTGTGATTGCCAGTAGCTAATTGATGTGAGAATCTCATCCAGTTGTTTTGGTAGACAGATCCCAGGGAATCTGTTCCAACAGAAAGGCTGGTTAGCTTGTTCCAGATTCCTACTAGACATTGTGTAAAGAAGTGACTACATGATGATGGACCTAACAAGACCAGCTGGATGAAGGAGCTGCTGTAGAGAGCACTGCACTGGAGTGGGTGTGAGTATGACTTTACAGTGGCATGAAGCAGGGGAGTCACGTTGGTAGACTAAAAAGCGATCTTAACTCTGCAGGAGAGACTCTGAGGCTGAAAGGAAGATCCAGCCTGCTAGATCAGTCATTTCTGTACGAATGCTTCTTTTTTTCTACAGACATATTTTATCACTCTCTGGCACACTACACTGACAACAGATTTGGGAAAAGCAGGTTTGGATTACACATCACTGAAAGATGAAGAGAAAGGCAATAAAACCCTCTTCCCTCTGGATGGAGAGCACTAAGCGCCTATTAACTGCACAGTGTGCAGTAAAGTGACCAGTTCACTACAGCTGCTACTAGATCGGATTTTGTTTTGCAAAGGTAAATTAAAATGATACGAATGGCTAACAAATGTGAAATAAAGCACAGCTATCTTAAAAATTCCTTACAGAGCAAAATGACAGTATGCAGAAGTTGAATTTCAGGCAATAAATATTGTGTGTTCCTTGCAGCTGAGCTCCTGTTTGCAGTATAGACTTTAAATAGAAGGCCTGAAACAAATTATTCCAGTGGTAATTAAAGTTGAAAACTTGCAGCACTGGCTTTTAAGGATCCTAATTTCTCATCGAGTAGTGGCTGATTTCAAGTGGAGATCTTCGGAAGCCAGGACAATAGAGATTCATGGGCACAGGTTTTTCTAATTAAATGTAATGACAGGGAGCCGGCCATATATAAAACTCTGGGTCTTTTCTCCTATTATAATGTGGCAGGGTTGAAGAGACTTAATAGGGGATTATTTTTTTTATAAAAGGAGGGAATGATTAAAAAAAACAGAACCCAACTCTCATAGCTGACAGAATATCAGTTGACTTCTCCAAGAGAGACAGAGATTTTTTTTAACCATCTTCCCTCGTAAGAGCTGTAATGTTTGACATCGTTTTTGACTCAGTCTTTCTCAAGAAAATGGTGTAATTTGACAGGTTATTTTTTTTTAAACTGTCGAAAATTAATTAAAACGATTTACACAAGTTATTGTCCACATTTGTTCATACTTAATTCTAGAATAAGATTTTGAAGTCTTCTCAAGCTGGATTGCATTTAGATAATTGTGAAATCTTCTGAAAATAAAGGTTTTTGCAAAGTGCAGTGATGTGTAACAACTAATAATATTTTTTTTACATCAGTACTCAAAATACTCTTCCCTAAAATTACTTTATTCTACAACTTTAATTTCAGACACTTCAAATCTCAGTGTATTTATATTTATGAAACACATACTTATGATAGTGAATTTTAGAATTGAAATTCTTTTAATTCTCATATACATCTAAAAGCTAAAAATGTAAAAGCTTGAGAATATAACCTCGTACAAAAGACATCAAAAGCTAATGAACATTTGTTCTGATGATTTTTATCTCCATTTCAATGAGTCAAAATGTGAGAACAAATCTAGCATTACAGTTAAACGGATTCCTAATACTGTACATGCTTTAGAATTACAAAAAAAATGTTTTTGTTGTTTCAGCAACATTTACTGTTTAGGATGATTCCTTTCATGCTTTTCTCGCTATTATTTTCAATCTATTTTGCACATACAGTAGAATATACAGCAATCTCTTAGCATAAAACAACGTACATTTTCAACTTAATTACTTAAACAACATATATAAATAGGCAAGAGTTAATGAAATATTGTAATTGTATATACATAATTGTGTACAGTAAATACGTAAAGCCGTTAAACAGTATATACAGTATAGTACTTGCAATTCATACCAGTAAAAAAAACAAATGCAAACTAGGAAAACTTCAGAAAGGCCATTTCACCGTGAAAGAAACACAAGTCATATGTTTTTATCTTTGGATTCCCAGAGAAGATACATTTTGGAGAAAAAAAAATATTTTTCAGTCATAAAATATTAAGAGATGTTTCATACCTGAACCCCAAATATATACTGCAGAGTAATCCAAACCACACTTTGCCTTCAAAATAATAAAAAATAAAAATGACTCATCTTAATACATTTTCAGTTGATTATAAAGGGGTTCTGTGATATGAAACTGCATTTCTCGAAAAAGCCCTTTAAAATATCCAGTACTTATACAAAAGTACAATTTCAGTTGAACCTGACTTGAAAAAAAAAACACCTGTTTGAGGATAGATTGTAGTAAGTGCTTTCAGATTTTATTTATTTTGAACATTATTTTTTAAAAAAGTGATGTACTAGAATGGAAATCAGTCGCAGAGCAACATTTACTGCAAACTTGCTTTGGCTTCTCACCTTTCTGATTCTTGCACCCACACCACCCTCTGATCTGACGCCCTCTACAGCGAGCAGCTGCTGATTTTTGGCCACATGGTAGCTTTGTTGCTGTCTGCCCAACGGTTCTGTTGGGGAGTTTTGAGTGAACTGCAGATACAGCGCGATGACACATATGAAGTATAAAAAGGTCAGTTACATATTGCTTTTCATTAAAAAAAAATTGTGCTGTAAATGCACCAAAGAAAACATTAAAATAAGCTAGCACTCTTTCCCAAACCTCACAAGTCACAACTGCCACCACCTCCCACCCAAACCCCCCCCCCCCACTCTCCGAACTAATATTTTTTTTAATTATGCATTCCAGGTCATATTTAAGATGTATGTTTTGCAGACCTACACAAAGCATCATGAGTAGAGCCTTCATCTTTCAAAGCAAAATACTTAAAACTGGTCATTCACTGTAAAACAGAAATTATCCACGTACCCCTGGAGGTTCACGTTTTTTTCTCTGTAGCTCAGTTCAACATCAACTATAGTAAGAAAAGAAGGGATTCAGGCCCTTCAATGAATTCATTGAATAACATCAAAATGTACACTTCCTGAAACATCATTTAATTATCTTTTTTGACTCAAGCATCAGCTGCCTCCCAATTTCCTTTGGAAATTTGGTATTTTATGTTTCATTTAAAAAAAAAAAACAGTACTTTAGCAACCCAAGAATTTAGTTTCAAATGTCGCTTGAGGTTAATGACACTGATGAAGGCCAAAGGAATGAACAACATCTGTTTGTTCCTGTTCCCGCAAGCTTCAGGATATTGAAAACTTTAAGTTGCAAAGAAATTCAACTGTCAAACTGATTTTTTTTAAGTTTCCCGTGGGACTGTTCTCATTAAGTGTCAACCTTTTTTAAACTACTCCGTGTGTATCCATGTTTATAGCACAATTGCAAAAATATTGTTCTTATCCCATAGGAATCACCACTATATACCCTTCTATTCTCATATCCATAGAGCTGCAAAATGCTAATTAAACATTGAACACAATTACCTGCTTACAAAAGACTTTGTTTGATCTCAGGTTAGCTTACTGGTCATCTGTCACCTATTGAAGACTGCACAGCGCACATATTTCTAGTTAGCAGATGGGAAACGGTTTAGTATGAGCTGGAAGCAGATGACTTCTGACTTGCCTCAAACTCACTGCCGCACCTTAAGAGGTAGCTGAAAGTCTGTTTCCAGTCTAATTAGCTGCAGTCTATGCTGGACCTGCAAGCACTCATCTTCCAGGTGTAGCAGTGATTTAGAGCAGCTTAATGAAGTGCAACAGAAGGCAGGAAAAAAAACAGTGTTTATTTATTTTTACGCTCATTACGTCAGAGAAACACCTTTTCTGGAAAAGCAGTTGCACGTGGGAGCAATCAGAACCATTCTGAAAGCAACCCTGCCCCATTCCTTAACACAACACAAAGCTGTCACTTGCTCTCTCGGTATCAAGCAAACAAGCAAACGTTGTTACATGGTATAAAAACTACTTTTCAGATGTGTCCTGGGGTTTTGAAATAAACCTTATTTTAAGAGGCTATTAAAATGACCAGGTGTTTGGAATGTGAGGGCCTGATTAGCTCTCCAGTGCAAGATGAAACACTCTCAAGAGGTAAGACGTGAATTAATTGAGGAGTGTGTCTGCATTAAAGACACATTTATAAAGATCAGCTCAGCACAGAGTTTATTAGTAGTCTAGTAAGTACAAACATGAAATTGGTATGAAAATGTCGGGGCTGAGATGCTAAGCTAACTCTAAGGCAGAATCAAAGCTGAAGTTCACT